TCGCAACACCCAAATTTATTTGGATATCTGATTATTTGGATACGCCCCACAATGGCGACCTGGGCCAATAGTTTTGGGGAGCCAGCCCTGCCTGGCCTAGAGTGGTCGCTAATTACGGGCAGTTGCTTTTCCAGGCCGTGTCACCAAGCTTTCTTTTTGTGTTTTACCTGACACGTTTGATCGTGAAATATATCTTTGGGTGCATCTGCCATATTACGGGGGGAGATATTTGTAGCCGATGGCCAAAATGGGACAGCTCTGCACTTGACTGCTGCAATGGCGCATATGGGAGGAGTACCGAACCCTCGCGGTCGAGCAAGATACGATACCCGAGGAGCCCACAGCTGCAAGGAAGACAACGGACCTAGATGACTTCATGACCTCAATTAGAAACTTGGCGCCCAACCTGCGCCCTCACCGTCCTCCATGCGTGACGAGTACGCAGAATGGGTGGGCAGTACCGATCCGGGCGATTGTCTTGTGGACAATCCCATCCAGTACTGGCTTCTCCGCAGACGCCAATATCCACGCCTGTCGCGAATGGCAATCGACCTCTTTTCCATTCCGGCGATGTCTTCAGAGCCGGAGAGAATATTTAGCCTTGCCGGACAGATGGCCGCAGCTCAGAGAGGCCGCCTCAAAGCGGACCTTATCAAAGCGGACCTTAAGGTATAGGAGCGGCTCAATGTATTTTGTCGTGGAAAAAGTGGGCTATCCAGATATCCAAATGAGATCCAAATCGATTCAAATCAAATCAAATCAAATCAGATCCATGATTTTGCTATCCAAATCAAATCAAATTGGACCCCGGATTTGATTTGATTTATCTATTTGCAAGTCTGAGCTGCTGTGCCTCCAACAACAACCCCAGCTCCCACTATGGTGCCTTCGGCAACGGCTCCGAGGGTACCATCTGTTCCTGCTGCAGTACCCATGAGTTGAAGGGCATGCGGAGTGACCACGGCCATACCGATTAGGCCAAGAGAAGAGGCTCCTGCAACAATGAGGACCATCGTTTCGTGGGTAAGAACTGTCTGATCACCGATGAAGAATATCGGGGTTGACTTTGCACTGTAATTATGGCGTTGCAGCTATAACATTACCAAACCTTGCACTGTCAAAGTGACGTTATATAGTGACATTGGCAGCGTATAGGAAGGTCAAAGGGGCTTCACAATCGGATAAAACGTTGATCCATACATCTATCTAGCTATAGGATATCCATGCTGCATTTATAGGTATTTGTGTCCACGGCCAGTATTCCGTTAAATCCCCGGTGGCCTTAAGCAGGTCATAGAACATATGTCTGTTGTCGCGGCAGGACCAGAGAAACAATAGCTTTGCCGCGACGCCGTCTCGCTTTTCGATGGAGCGAAAGGTTGCTCGCATCGAGATGGTCCAGGGAGTAGCCCCCGACTCTTGAGGGTATCGGGGGTCTTGAGGATACTAAAGAGGCAGCCAGCCGTCGAGCAAGCCGCCCTCGGCCATGAAGAAGCAACCCCGCTGTTGGTAGCAGCGTACAAAGACGGCTGCATCGCACCCAGTCACTTGGAGGAAGTGGCCGCTTGCGCAAGAACCACGGTTAGCCCATCCACGAGGTCAAGGAGCTTGGCTAAGGCCACTGATTCTCTGCCGGGGCGTCGTTGTCCGTGCCACTTATCCAACATAGCTTTACTCAGGGACCCGTCAACCCGCTGCACTCGCGGCACGTTGCCCAGCTGCACCAGGCTTGACAGCTGGGTAGTGATGAGCATCGAGTCTCGGCTGTGAGGCAGGTTCGTGCAAAGTTTTGGAATCATGGCACTGACCTGTCCCTCCCAGACCTGACCGAGATTATCCAGGACCAGTAGCCACCTGCTCTGGTCGGGTCGGCCGAAAAACCTAGAGATAAGGCGCACCCTCCGCTGCAGGGCAATCCCCAGCCCTGGTGGAGGGCCATGGTGGCAAGAGCTGGCGGGCCCGTCCATCGAGACATGTTACGAAACTCAGCTCGGATGCGGCGTCGATCCACAGAATGGAGCTGAAGGAAGCCTGATATCGCCGGGTGAAATCGGCTCCCAGCTGGGTCTTGCCTATGCCCGCGAGCCCATGCAGGACAAAAGGCCGATGCGTTGAACTAGGATCTAAGAGCCATCGCTCGAGTTCGGCCGTGTCAGACGGCATTGGGACAAACCGATTATACCGGGCGATTGGACAAAAGTGGAAGGGCGGTTCTCCGAGGATGGGGCGTCGGTTGTCGTAGTGAGCTGGGGAACAAGCGTTAGATCAAGCCCGAGTCACGGCCGACCACATGTGCAAAAGAGGACTTGCTTACCAGTCATAATGACTGTGACGTCTCTAGATGATGGAGGTGGTGGGACTGCTTGTTTCAATGTTGCGTAGTGGATATAGTTCGAGTTATCGGGACACAACATGTAAACGTGACTAGGACGAGTGTGATGATTTATATCCCGGACTTTCCTGCTTGAGCCTACATGCGTAGGTGACTGCTAAAGCCCAGGTGATGTAAGCCAATACCTACATGAGGTTATGCCTTCTACACTTTGCAAGTATCTTGACGAGGCCACGACTGACTAAGGTGTGCCGGATAGTATTCAGCCATTTGCGGATGATGCCCCTTAGCAATTTGGGGAGGCGGCACGTAACGAAAAGCACAATAAAGCGGGATATGGATGAAATCTACGTTTCGGCCGAGACGCGAGATCATGGCCTTCAGTCCCGCCAGTGTCCACTTCGCGCCTACACCAGATCCTGGCCTGTTGGTAGGACATGGAGGAAATGAAAAACCCCGGCCACCGTTCTCGTTGCACGCCTCAATATTCGCACCTCACGTTATTAAACCGCCAAGAGCGCAACAGTCTATCTCGACGACGGTAGCGCGATGCCTTCATTGACGAAATGCAAGTCGAAACTGCCCACTCCTGCCGCACCGGCTGGGCTAACGGACGGTAGGGGGAAAGAAGCTTTGGCTCCTCATCGCCCGTCGCAAAAAGCAGGAGCCGCGACGGCGCTCTCAACCCACGCCCATGCCGCCCGAATTCGCGCTTCTACCGGAAGAGCATCTTGTCCGATCGCGCACACCATCGCCTCTCGACGACCAGTTTCCTCCATGCCCGCCGCCGCCGCGACGGTCAGTTGGCTGTAACCCCATAGTGCCGCCCTCGCCGCATTGCCAGTACTCTAGCTCTTCACGTCCGTGTTGTTCCTGCTCACGGCTGCGGTGGGTTCCTCCTCCCCGTCACCCCAACCGGTCCAAGCCTCATCTGCCCCTAGAGTAAGGGGTTAGGGTTGGGGTAGACCATGGAAGGCGAAGGTGGCATCGGGCATGCATTGCTTGTTCGATTGTCACGGTTAAATCCACGAGCCGAGGCAGAGGAGGATTGTAACTTACATCCCTGAACTTCGATGCCGGGAATGCCAATTTAGTATAGAAGTCGGATGGATTGACGTAGGGGACGGGAGTACGAGAACTTGGTACCTACCTACCTCCCATTTGCGATGAACTTTTATCACTGCGTGGGATCCTTCCCTTACCAGGTACCTGCTGTCCTTGCCCTAGCGGGGGAGGGGGAAACGTGGCCATCCTTGTCTCCAGCTATACTTTGAAGTATTTCTACATTATCTATCTTCGCAATACTCCAACCGAGCTGCTGCCTCGAGACGCCCCCTCGCCGACAGAGACATATTGATTGGATTCTGTGGGGGACCGTTCATGGAATAGCTTTGGTGATCATCCCGGAGGAGGCAGAGCTCTTGATACCGGTCATCAGGGCCATGGAGAGCGCACCGGTACACTTAATTCCCTACGCTGCATCGACGACAAAGAATATGGTCCATTTCAGCAAGTTGGCGCTGCGTCTTACTCTCTCCCCTCTGCCTTCGTGGATTTCGATTAAGCCGGGGCTGCTCGGTGCTGGACCGTACTTTGACTTTGAGGAGTATTTGATGGCCCTGAAACACCTGCGCTCAGTGGTCAAATTTGGCGGCACGGCATCTGCCGAAGCTGCATCTAGTAAACATTCCACAGGCTTCTCAGCTGGAGACATCTACGCCTTTCTGCCGGAGTAGTTGAGCGTTCGCCGTAAAGGACAGGACATTATGCACACTCCAATGGGGTACATCTGTCAGGGTCGACAGTTAGAAGCGAGACACGATGGTGAGCCAGAGAATGTCGCGGGTTGCCGCAGGCCTCCCTCGATCAGCCATCAGACCGGGACAACGCCGGACGTAGGTCATGACTCTCGGTCGGGTGCTGTTGTTGGTCCAGCTATCGACGGGAGAAAGGTGTCGTAGGCGGTGTGGGTTTTGGTGAGGCATCGGCCGTCCTTGGCTTCTGTCCACGGCTCCTGTAATAGAACGACGTCGTATTGTTCGGAGTCGGCGGCGGCGAGGTCACACTCGTGTGCCGGCGGGATCTTGCCAACATTGGCCTGAAAGACACGTATAGTCCTTGCTTCGTTTTGGTTTCTGCAGGGATGCTTCGTCATGGAGATTGTGCAATGGGGCTGATGCGACTGCTGCGCCGTTTCTTCGAAGGAGAGGCGGGTCTAGAGTCGTGACCATTGCCGTGAGGCTGAGGTGTCGTGGCTAGTACGATGCAAAGCGGGGACATTGTCATGGTTGGGCTGCAAGTCCATTTGCCCAGGTTTGGACATTTAAGTCTTGCGGCAAATACTGGCTCGGCGGGCCCGAAACGTCTCTTCGTGTCGCCTAGAAATTTGGTACAATTGTCCTGCACAGCGCGAGCTTGCTCTAGAAGGTCGGCCTCGGCCAAATTCGTCTCCGCGCATGGAGGTCACGGCCGTGTGCCAACTTCCAGGATCCGCCTGTAATGCGTTGGACGCTGCGCGCAACAACAGTACGAGCGAGTAGGACACAAGGAAGTAGAGACCCACTTTCTCTCTGGTTTATATAGTTCGAGTCTCACCTATAACCAGCGGTGGTGGTCTGCTTCGTGGTAACTTCTTGCCTAACTTGTGTCGTCCATATCTGCCTCAATCATGATTTCGGCTGTCGAGCTAGACAATGACCATGTGGAGGCGCTCAGACGGCTCGCGTATGAGCCGGTTAGCCGCAGCATGGTCGCTCACCTGGCGCGTGTCACGAGCAGAGTCATCAACCAGACCATCCCAGTCCTACTGACGGCTACGGAGCAGCGACAGCAACAGCACGCACCTCTCGTCGCCACAGAGGCAGCACTTCCTAGCCTTGAGACATTCATTGGGTGTCTGGCCACTGCATCCAGAGTCACAACGTTGCCCCTGTTAGCGACCCTCGTCTACCTTGCGCGGGCCAAGTCGAAACTGAAGCAAACGGTCCGCGGTCTTCCATCTGCTCCTCACCGCATATTCCTGGCTTCGCTCATACTATCCACCAAGTATCTCGAAGACTGCCCACCTAAGAACAAGCGCTGGGTGAGATACTCTCGCGTCGACACGGAAAGTACGATGACACATTTCACTCTCAAGGATGTGAATGTGATGGAGAAGCAGCTCATAGACATCCTGGGCTGGGACCTGACGATCAGCGAGCAGGAATTGTATGCGCAACTGGAGCCGTTTCTCCAACCCATCCTAGTTCAGATCGCCCAAAGGCAAATCGCAAAGAGAAACAGAAGGCATAGAAAACGGGTGGTAAACCAGGTTGACCGTGGCGGTGTTCCTACGCTGCCGTTGCCCAGTATGCTCCGCAGCCGAACTGCTCCAAGGCAACTTGACCAATGTGTTCGAGGATATCAATATGCCCTGCATGCCATGATTGACCAGACGGTTTCGACTGACCATGGCACGGCCTGGGAAGCCGAGAAATCTCACAGGACGGGCGATCGAAGCGGAAGGTTCGAATCGAAGACGACTTCGCCATGGTAATCCTTCTGGTTTCCGTCTTTGAAGACAAGGACCAGGAAAACATCATACCGCTAAACTCGTCTGTGATGAGCAAGACGTAGCGGTGTCCGTTGTATGCCGCAGGGAACTCGAATAGGTCGATGAAGACGCGATAAAACGGTTGTCTTGACCTGTTTGCGGATTCCCTGCGGGAGATAATCTCATGAGCCTTGCCTTGGCCGCAACCCTTGCACTCAATGGTCATCGGACCCTTGATTCGGACCCCCTTGGTCTTTAGAACGAGTCGTTCTAGAAAATCTGGCCCTGCGTGGCAGGCTCGAAGATGCCATGTTTCGGAGGAGTCCGATCGTGGTGGAGGCGGCTGCCTTGGCATTGCCATTCTCTGCCGTGATTTTCGCTGCAGACTTGCTGGCTGAAATGAAGAAAATACATCCTGGAAGGCGTTGAACACGGAGATCGGCGATTGTGGAAGTTGGAAGTAAGAACGGGAAATTGGCTTGTATTCGACTATTTCGAGATCGTATTTCTCTGTAAGTCGACAAAGGACGTCGTTGTCCTCATAAGTTCCCATTCGAAGCGTGTTATAAAATCCACAATACCAAAGTCCCTTTCTTTTGAGCCTCTTTGCGCTGATAATATTCGTATGGAACCTCGGAACGTAGGCCACATTAATGAGGACAAGATCGCGTGTGTTCTTTCCGTCTGCGCCATCCAGTACCTTCTCCATCGTTCTCGTGCCTCGTGCATGGACCTTCAGGGAACTGTCACCAATCATGACGTAGTCAATGTCCGCTGCCTCAGGAATGTCAGTCAAATCGGCCCGTGGTTGACGACGCATCTGACTGCTGGCGCCATGCTGATGTGACTGGCAAACTCTAGGCCGTGAGTATCGGCCCGTGGTTGACGACGCATCTGACTGCTGGCGCCATGCTGATGTGACTGGCAAACTCTAGACCGTGAGTATCGGCCCGTGGTTGACGACGCATCTGACTGCTGGCGCCATGCTGATGTGACTCGCGATTGCAGTGATGACAGACTTCTCTTACGCCTCGCTGCGATAGGTGCATGGTTGAGGAAGCTTTCTGTCGTTGTATGGAGTTCTCCACGGGAGTTTAAGCTCGGCCGACAGTTAGCGGGTTCCTGTCCTTACTGAATGTGCTAGGGGGGTCTAATGATATTGAGTATTGCTAAAATACTTCGAACACCCGTTAAGTTGCCAAGGCAAGGGGCTTAACGGCTGAATATCCAGCCCGAAGGGTGAACATCGTATACTTGTAATTCAACTTTCCTAGGGGGAGACTGTCACACACACATCAACCTGTCATAACTACCACTTGCAGCAGCACTTGTTGGAGTGTTCACTTCACTCTTGCATGTCTGCATGGTGCAACAGAGACCCCCTAAAACCCCCCTTTTCGCCTGCAGCGGGCAACCAGCTGTTTAAACCGCTTCCTGGCAGGCCCGGTCTAATTCTAACTATATAGAGGGTAAGAGGGTAGGGAACGCGAGCGTTAATAGCGGCTGAGATAGGAGCACGATATCTAGCTCCTCCGGTAGCACTGGGAGCTCTTCAAATAGCCTACCAACGTTGCGAAGAAAGTGGACAACGTGGCCTCGATATTTATAGAGTACTGCTATTTATATTGAGCGCCACGCACTTGTAAGACCTTGACATGTACGTGAATCCTAGCGATAAGCAGGACTTATCGTGGGGTCGATTTGCGGAGTAACGTACCTCACTGAGTCATGCAACGCACCACGTCATGCAACAAATTGCCCGACCGGCAAGCCAGAGCGAAAATTAATCCTGCAACCGACACAAACCATTTAAAATACTATTAAACATTACAATATGTGAAACACTTCATACAGAGTCTATCTATATGATGGTTTTCTTAGGAAATATGAGCAGGCGGTCTTGTGGTCCGCCCAGACCTGAGAGACTGAGAAACCGGCCTCCATACTTCCTGCGCTTCCGTCGAACGGGAGGTATGTCTTTTACCCCTAAAGCTCCGGGACTGTGGTCTCGAGCCACTGAAGCTTCAGAACCAATCTTTACCCTTTCTTCCTCCGAGTTGTTGCGTGGTTGAATGCCCGTCGCGCAAACCCGCTTCCAACGCCCCTCGTTTTTCTCACCGCTACCATGTCTTTTGTGCCCTCTTACACCAGGCTTTGACGTAGCAGCTACCTCAAACTTGACTTCCCGAATAGCCTGGCGTTCAGCCTCGCGTGCAGACCTCTCTGCTTTTAATTTTGCTGCGGCCTCCCGTTTCTCAGCTCGCTTTGCCTCGCGCTCCGCAGCACGCTCTGTCTTCTCTCGAGAACGCTGCTCTCGCAAGGCCTGACGCATTGCAGCCCGCTGTTTTTCTTCTCGGCAGATTCTCGAGCCTTTTCTTCACGTGATATGGCTACCTGGAGTCGACGATCTTCAATGGCTTGCTTGCGCTGCTCGTCGGCCTGTGCCTTGTCCGTCTGACGTCGCCGCGCCAGTTCCACCTTGGCTGGACTGAAAAAGACCGGCTGGCCACCACTTTCTTCCGGATTGAAAAGGCCCAAGGCCTTTCTGCGTTTCCCTTTTTTATGTGCAAGTTTGAGCGCTTCCTGTAGATCTCGATTTTCGTGTTGTACGAGCTCATATTGTGTCGCCAGTTTCTCTGATGCTCGGGAGAGCGCTGTGACTCGGGAGTCCATCAGCCCTTCCTTGCGGAGACGGCGGGTAATGCGCCGAATAGCCCGAAGAGAGCCTGGAGTCTTCATCGCCCTTTCCTCAGATGCAGTTTGTGGGGGTGTCACATCACTGCTGTGGCTAATCTTGGACAATACTTTGCCGGGGTCGAGTGGATGGATTCCTGTGGCCCGCCAACCAGCCTCGATATTTTTGGCCGTAAATGCCTGGTTCCACGCATCACGAAAGAGTGGCCAAAAATTCCGTTTGGTAAGGCGAATTAACCCCCATCCAATGGACATCAGCTGGTCGGAACCTTGAGCATAATAGGTGGAGAGTGCGGAAAACAGGCCAACATCGAGTGGTTGAAGCCGATGAGTTGAGTGCGATGGCAACACAGCAATGAGAATTCGATTCCGATCGGCATAGTCAATGAATTTCAGGTTAATGTGACTATTGTGACCGTCTAAAATTAAGAGACGGTAGGCACGACCAGCCTTTGCTTCGTATGGCAGTCAAATATGCGCTGAAGCCAGTGTAAACCCAGTGCATCACAGCTCCAGCCGTTTTCCGTACTGGCGAAGAAGGCTACTTCGCTGGAATGGTCAAAATCCTCAAGCCAAGTATCTTGAAAGTCTTTTGACTCCCCTTTGTAAATGAGGGCCGGTGGCGGTACGAATAATCTGCACATATGGCAGCGATCAGCGTGATGAACTCCCGGTTCCCGTCTTGGCTTGCCCCGACCAGTTTTCCGCGCCTGAGGGCTTCTCGGGGGACAACTCGCTTGGTGGAGCGAGAGAGACCAATTTGGAATCCTTCTCGTCAAAATTATAAACATTTGAGGACTGATGTTGTACTTTTCGATCTTTTCGCGGAGCTAGTTGGATTCGGTCAGAAATGGCGACTTTACGGCATTTGACCGAGTATTGTCGGCAGTATACCCTTGAAATGACGATAAAAGCAGTCTTACTAGATTGAAGAAGTTTTGAAATGCCTGGAATTATCAGCAGCCTTCCGCTGATGATCTATGGTGCGCAAATACAAGCTCGAAAGACGGTCATGGTGTCGCTTGCGGAAGCGGCTCACCCAGTTGACACCAAGCTCTGTCCCTGCGATTTCCTCGGCGATATTCTTCAACATCTGAGGGTAGGCGGGATACCACGGTCGGTCAGCTTATTGACGTGCCCAATAAGAATCTCCTCCTGCGCGCTGGTGAGTTTCTGTCGCGAGTAAGAGTTCGCGTCGTGATTTGAGGCTGTTTTGCCTTTGAAGCGGCGCCACAGCGTGGATTTGTCGATATTGTATCTCCTCGCGGTCTCTGCATATTTAGGGCGATCTTGGGATTGCAGTTCTATAATTGCCTCTGCAATACGAGGGTTGTGATCCATATCGCGTCAATTTGAAGAAGACGCGTCAGGTGTTGAAAATTGTTGCATGACCTAGTGCGTTGCATGACGCAGTGGGGTACGTTAATTTCGGGAAATCGTATGCGATTACACATCTACCATCTGATAAGTGCCCGGCGGCGCGCACGCGAATATCTCCACGGCCAGCAGCCCAATCCAGGCCATTCCGGGGCCTGGGGGACTACTACACTCCGGCGGCGCGTTTGGTCGAGGAGCACTCCGTATAGGCTACTGCCCGTCGAGATATTTGCGTTGCAGCGCCGCGAATGGGTAATGGGGGGCTAGGCTCGGCCACAGGAACTGTGAGATAGTAATGCACTGATCCTACGGCCCTTTGATCCTCAAAAATATGTCTAGTTACATGGATATAAATATGTGTAAAGACTCTACGAGGCGGCTGGCTTACGTCGACGAGGGGCGGTCCGCTTTCCCAGCCGGGTCCTCCGCCCCCGACGGCCCTGACCTCGAGTTGGACCTGGTCCCGGGCCTGGACCTGGGTCATCGGGCACGGGGTCCCTACCTGTACCCGTATCTGGCCTGGCCCTGGCCCCGATCCTGGCCCCGCCGTCGGCGCTGTTTGAGTTCGTCGACGAGTCGGTTCAAGCTTCGGCCGGCGCGTAACAGCTCTAGCTCTGCAACGGCCGCCTCCTTGCATTTGCCGGACGCCATACGGGCCAACAGCTCGTCCCAGATCACCTTCCGGCGACAGAACTGCACTCTGACCCCGTTCCCCGGCGCCAGCGGCTTCCCACGTCTCTTCCAGCTCCCGTACGGCCTTCTGACCTGCAAACCCTTCCTCCCACTCCTTCCAGACGTCCCCCACCGTAAAGACCCTTGCCAGGGCTGTGACGATAGGCATGCCTGGTACCAGAGGCTCTGGGTCGGGGGCCGGGGCCGGAGCTGTATTGAGATTCAAGGTAGGTACTGTTGACGGCGCCGGGGCCGGCGCCGGCGCCAGCGCCTCTGCTGACCCGGCTCCGAAGTAACCGGTAAAGGTGATAGGGACCTTGCCTTGGAGGAGGGCATCGAGGCCGCCCTGAATCCCGTCCAGCCGGGCCTCAAGCCGGATGGCGAGCCGCTGACTATTCTGTAACAGGGCCTCCCGCGTGCTCTCTATGACGCCGCTTAGTTCCGGCAGCGCGCGTCGTACGAGCAGGCTTACCGTCTCCATAGCCCCTACCGCGGTGGACCGCACGGCGACGGCGAACTCGTCCCACTCGGGCCCGCTAAAAGGGGCGTAGGCGAAGAACGGTAGCGACGGGTAGCGGAGCTGTAGGACGGCCAGGTCCTGCAGAAGTACTATACGCAGGCGCCGCATAAGCTTAAGGAAGCCGTCGGCGGCTAAGTCGTCGTCGTCGAGACCGCCTTCTGCCCAGCATTGCCGGCGCGCCCGCGCCTCAAAGCGGGTTCCCACTCCTCGATCCACGGCCACAGCTGCTTTTGTAAGACGTACGGGGTTCGTGAGCCGCACGCGCGAAGTAGTCCCCGGGAGGCCGAGAAGCCGGCGACGATACGCATGAACTGCCGCGGTAGGTGCGTAAGATATGCCTGGCAGAGCACGCTCTGGTTCCAGCGGCCGGCCTGCGAGATCTGGGCGAGCGACGTGCCATGGGTCTCCGCGTCCTGGGCGCCCACCCTGCGCGGGAGGTGCGTCTTCTTCGACGCGATAAGGCCGGCAGCGCCGAAGATACGCCAGGTCTCTTGTAGCTGCGTCGGGTACGAGAGCTCCTGCTCGCGGTCCCGCCCGACGAGGACCTTGATCCGATACCAGTCCTGACGGCGCCGGAAGGACGGGGGGGTTCGCCGGCGACGTGCCAGCGCCAAAGAAGAGCTGTGCTAGGGCCCTTGCGTACAGAATAAGGGGTCCTTGTGCCGGAGCGCGCCCATAAACTCCTTCCTCGCCGTCTTATTTAGCTTGCCGTCCCGTAAAAGGCTTACCAGGCAACCACAGGGGTCGGCCCTTCCGAAGGCGGATAGTCGAGTAGGGACAGGTCTGCAAGCTCCATCTTGCGGCGGTTCTCCCCCCGTAAGAGGTAGTAGTGGCCGAAGAGGAGGTCGACTCGCGTACGGAGGTTTTGCGGCGTATACGCGGCGCCAGTGAGAAGGAGATCCTGGATCCGAAGCCATTCATCGTGAGGTAGCCGGCCTGGATCCCGTCGCTCCCGCGGTCTTTAAAGGAGGCTCGGTCGTGCTTCCCCGCTGCCGGCCCCGTTGCTCAAGGAATCCTCGTACGGCGGCGCCCCGGGATTCTCCGTATTCGAGTTGCCGTGAGCCACCTGGAGCCTCCATAGCTCGATAACGGCCGCGATATAGGCGTCGATAGTGCCCTCGTAAGCAAAGACCCTTCGGTAGGTCTACTGCAGCCGTCGCGAGGCCTGTGGGTGGCACGTAACCCTCGCGGTCGTCAGCGAGCAGCTCAGCGGCCTCGGCCAGGGGACCTCAAAGCTTCGGCCAGGCTTTCGGCCTCTGCCATGGCCGCGGCCTCGAGCTGCTCCTGTTCGCGCTGTTGCCGTACCTGTACGGCCTCGCCGTTGCCGTCGCCCTAACCTTACCCGCGCGCGCGGCTTCTTCTTCTGCGGCGGCACAACGCGTCGTAACAGGATATCCTCTTTGAGCCACGCCGCCAGCTTGTCCGGCGTTACGAGCTCGCCGTCGGGCCAGCTATAGAGCGAGCCGTCTGCTGCAGCCCGAGGCGTATGGCACCAGGCCTATACGTATTTGTCTGTTAGCCGCCTAGGGGGGCCGTACGTGACAGGGATCGAAGTGGAGGACCGGCCGGGGGACGCGCCTTCCACTCCCGCTGCTTCGCCGCGTAACTCCGCGCCGTGTTCGCCGGCTGTTCGTCCTTCTTCGCCTGGATGCCCGCCCTCCGGGCGGCACGGGCGCGCTCGTCAGCTGCCGTGTACGAGTCGTCCGCGGCCATCTCGGTCGATCGGGCAACGTTCCTACGGGGCGAATGTCTGGGCTGGTGTTGGCCGGAAACCCGATAAGTTGGGTGGGAACTTATCAAATGCACTTATCAGGCGTCCTGCACACGATTTCACGGGCGGCGTTTTGCGGGCGATAAGTGGTCACGTGGCCTAAGTGAATTACGACGCAATTGCGGGCACCACCGATAAGCACCTCCTCAACCATCGTTAGATCGGGCTGTCGCATGGACCATTCAGCCAAAAGTGAGATGCACATCCCAACAGCACTGCTGCTAGAATGGCTAAAATGGCCTGTCGCTGATTGCAACACGGGCGATGTAGGAGTTGGTGAGGGGGTAGCGACAGGAGACGCTGTAAAAGACGCCGACATCACCGCCGACTGGTCAACCGACCTTACGTCTGCGGAGTAAAAACATATAAATTTGCTGTTGCACACAATGCCAGGCAGCTATCGTCAATCGCGGGTAACGAGCGTCGAGGCCGATCGAGGCTGCCTGCTTGTGTGCTGGCAGTCGACAGGCGATGCGGGGTGCCACGTCTTGGAGCAGCACTTTGACCGCGTGGTCCTGGCCGTGTCCCCCGACGTCGCGGCCAGGGTCTTTTGGCCACTGGCGTCGACGCTACACGAGATGCCGACGAAGCGTGTCGAGAGCTATATCCTTAGCTCCGAGCCGGGGGCCCTGTCCATCGCGAGCGGACAAGACTCAGTGGCAGGGTGCTCGCATCATTGCGGCGAAGCCTGGCCGGCCCAAGTCATTACGGTCCGCACGCAGTTCGACGGGGACGCTTCGAGAACGCAGGCTCTCCACGCCATGCCTGGAGGAGCGCTGGTCAGCACATGCCCACTTGAACCGGCGACGGACTCGAAGGCGGTGTTACGGACTGCAAGCTTCACCAGAACCTTGCGCACCACCGCAAGCAGAGCCGCAGTGCAGAGCATCATGGGCTTGGATAAGGTATTCCGGCAAGACGCACAAGACGAAGCCCAAGGTAGCAGCTATCCCGGCTGGGTGAATGGCGAAGACAACGTATGGCTGGCTGGCTCTTGGTGCTGGGACGGCATGGTGCTGCTGGAGGGATGCGTCGTGTCAGCGATGCGGGTCGCCGAAAATTTTGGAGTGCGCATACCGTGGCGAGGCGACTGACGGGCGTGCGGACATATTGGCACATTGTCAGAAGAAGGCAGAAATAATGTATCTCTCGCGAAGAAGAGAGCATAAGTGGGCATAAAAGTGGATAAAGGGACTTTTCGTAGGTAGATTCTCAGATGATCTGATAGTCGGTGATGTGCATGTGTTTTTTTTTTCTGTCCAGTTGCCCTGTATCCGTCTAGCCCTCCCCTTTTATATCCCTCTGTGCCTTCCCTATGTTCATATCCCGTGTTCAGGTATAATATACATTCTATCAGGAAGAGGGCACTCCTTGCCTCTCACTGAAGGCCGCGTAAGCCATCTACGTCAGCACATTCAGCTCGATCTCCCCGATCAATAGCTTTCCAAGCTATTAGGTCGATAGTTCAATCTCTTGAGGTCCCCGAGCCAGTAAAGATATACCGGACTCCTTGGAGGATCCCGATCGAATAGGAGATCCTCCGGACCCCTCAGTGGTCTAGGAAGAAGAAACAATAGTCTGCAGACTTCCCTTCTTACCTGGTTTCAAGCTGTATTACCTAGAGACCTAGGGACCTCAACTCGTTCGGACCTTCTTCTCGACACACCCTTAGCTATGAGCCGTCCCAACGGGTCAAAGCTACAACCAAAGGTTATAGGTCCTCAACGAGGTTACCGTGTAGTCGTGGCCAGGAGACCTCCCTAATATTCCTATGCGGTCAAGGGCCTCTCCTAACCGTCCTACTAGAATCCGGTCTCGTAGGTCTTCCATCCGGGTCTCAAGCCGAAGCCTGGTTTTTAAGTCAACTATTCCAATAATCTCTTGGAATTTCTGTAGTTTCTGACGAGGGAGTGCCTTGGTTAGGCCGTCTGCTTTCATCTGTGCCGTTGGAACCCAACGGACTTGAATTCTTCCTTCTTGAGTCTCTTGGCGTAACCAATGCTGATGGATATCAACATGTCGTAGTCTCGTTGATAGCTTCGCGTTCGTTTCTGCAAGCAGTCTTATCGTCTGACTATTATCACATTCTAGCTGCAAAGGGTCCGGAATTTGAAGGTATAGGGCCCTAAGCATCCGGCTAAGAAAAATAGCTTCTTTGCTGCCTCTGAAATAGCCAGCAATTCGGCTTCAGTGCTAGAAGTAGTGACTGTTGCTTGTTTCGAAGCTCTCCACGCAATAGGTCCACCGAATAGGGTCATAATATAACCCTGTGAGCTCTTTCTGTCAAGAGAATTATCGGCAAAGGAAGAATCACTAGAGCAAATAAAGATATCGGCTCTCTTGTCGGTTGATCCTCCTAGGCGAATTCCAAAGGAACGGGTATTATAGAGGTAAAGAATAACCCGGTCTGCTGCCTTCTGGTGTGATTCGTTGGGGTTCTGGTTATGTCTAGCTAGCCGAGAGACCGCAAAGGCGATATCTGGTCTCGTCGAAATAGCTGCAAAGAGGATAGATCCTACCTTCTGTAGGTACCTATGAATTTCCTGTTCGCTTGCTCGGCTAGTAGAAGGGAGTAGCTCTTCTGTTGTCATTGGTGTGTCTGGAAGCTTTGAGGAAAGTCGGTCCGGTCCTAATAGCTTGTGGGCTATTTTCTCGATATAGGCATCTTGCGTCAGCCAAATCGTCTTCTTAGTCCGGTCCCGAAGGATGTGTATGCCTAGGAACCAGCGGGCTCCCAAGCAATGTCATTTTATATCGTTCTTGCAGTCCTCGCATAGCCTCCATAGCTATTCCTTGGTCTTCTTTCTTATAGGCCCAGACAATATCGTCAACGTAGAAGAAGACAATGACTGCCCCCTTCTTCATCACACAAGGTTCTTGTGGGACCTTTTCGAATCCTAATTCCTCTAGGGATCGGGTAAGGTGCTGTTGCCAAAGCAAAGGGGATCGTCGTAGACCGTATAGGGCTTTCCGGAGCAAAAGAATTCTGCCTGGTTTGCTAAACCCGGGAGGCATCCTCATAAAGACTACCTCCTCCTCGAGTGGACAGTTAACGAAGGCGTTTACTGCATCCATTTGATCAAGTTCGAGGTCGAATTCTGCTGCAATAGCCATGAGTGCCCGGAAAGACATCCCTGCTAGGGTCGTTGCTCGAGTCGGTAGATCCCCCCTTTCCTGCTGGTTGCCGCAGACCACAAGGCGGGCTTTGCACTTTAGAAGGAACCCATGCTTATTCGTTTTATAGGTAAAGACCCATTTGCAGTATAGAATTTGCTTGCCCGCAGCCTTCTTCCAAGGAACTTCGATAAAGGACCCCATCTCCTCGTGAGAGGCTAAGTGGTCCTTTGAGCTTGAACAAATTCCTCTTTAAAGGGTGCTTTTCTAGCTGCTTGGTGTTTTCTGGTGGGTCTGGTAGGTCCTTCTTGTGTACCTTGGTCCTTGGTTTTGGCTTGAATAGTCGTCCAGCAATAAAGGCTCCGTGTACCCCGTCCTCTATAGGAGTAGGATAAAAGTCATTAAATCGGTCCAAAGTCGGCAGTGGTTTGAGTTCCGGATCTACCCCTATCATCTGATCAGACGATTCCTTGGTAGACGATGTAGAAAGAGGTCTGTTTGACTCGTCGATTGATAAAAAGGAAGCTTTCCAGGAGTTGTCAAACCGCCCCACCCCCTTAGGGGTAGCAACCGGAAGAGAGACCAAGAATCCTGCCTCAGGATCTTCTTCTGTCAGTGGAGGTGTTATAAGAGAAGCTTCTTCAAGCTCCCTAGCCCTCTTATAGTCTTCTTCGTTATCGGTAAGGTCGGTCTGTTCCTCTTCTTCTTCCTCCGAGTCTTCGTCGAACACGCTCTCAAGCTCCGATTCTTCGTCAAGGATTTCCTGGTTGATTTTCTGGTCCTCCGGTATCTCAACGCGTTGAATTAGGTCATTGATGCTAGGAAGCAGCGTCGGCTGCTCGAATTTCCCATCAAAATAGGTAAATTCATCGAAAATAACATCCCTTGTCGAAATGACCTTTCTTCGTTGTGGAATCCAGATTCGGAAGATATTCGTTGAATTATATCCAACCAGGTATCCTATATGTGACCGTGGATCAAGCTTCTGCCTCTTTTTCTTGCCTAGCTGTGCGTTAGAAGTCATGGCATAGGCTCTGCAGCCGTACGCCTTGAGCTGGGCATGCTGTTGAGGTTGATCCTTCTTCGTAAAGAGCTCAAGAGGTGTTTTCCAGTCTTCCGACGAATTCGAAATCGAGTTCGTAGTCCTAGGGGCTCGAGGGGTTCGATTCCGTAGATAGCAGGATGCTTCCACGGTCTCTTTCCATAGGTCGTGAGGAAGGCCTGCTGCAATCCTCATCTTGCGAGCCCTTTCAATAACAATTCCACCGGACCGCTCTGCCCCTCCGTTCTGGGCTTGTGTATTCGAGGCTGATTTTTCTGCTGAAATTCCTCTTTCGTAGCCACTTCTTAATCTTATTAGTGAATAGCTCTCCGTCAGACCGTACGATTTTCACCGTGTAGTCAAAACGAAGCTTCATCCAGCTAACGAAATCTCGAAGTGCGGCTAGGTGATGCTTTGAATGATAGGTCTTAAGGAAATAGGGGAAAACCATGCCCGAATATGCGTCTGTGATAAACATCACACGGACATAGCCCTCGAAATCAGGGTAAGCTCGGTCCAGTCGATCCAAATCTCTTGGCAGGGCTCTTGACGTTCGTCTCGAATAGGGGTTCTTCGAGAAACCTGTCTTATTGCCCTCCCTTGAGCGCAGTGCTGGCATTCATGGGTCTTCGGACCTCGAATATGCACTCCTTTTCGTAGTCCTAGCTTTAGTAAAGCTAGGGGTCCCGGGTGACCTAGTCGGGCGTGCCAAAGGCTAGCTTCTGCTGACGCTGTCGGTCTTGGGTCCCGGGAGCCTCTTCTTCTCGGCTTAGAGGCTTGAAAAGCCGCTTCTTCGATATCCTCCTTCTGAATAGGCTGGAAATCGAGAACAAACTGGCGATATTTCCGAAATAAAATACAAATCGGTCTCTTGTCTCGGTAGACTAGCCGTGTTGGCTCTGTGAAGGTATCCCAGTAGATTCCTTCGTCTCGAAGAGCCTGGAAAGATACCAGGCTTGCTGAAAATCTCGGGCAATAAGCAACGGTTTTTAACCGTAAAGACCGTAATGACCCGTCTAGGGCCGTGACCGTAACGTTGACTCTGCCATAACCTTCGATCCGGACTTCTGAATCCCCTGTGACTAGGTATTCGTTTCTTGCTTTTCTAAAGACCGGAATTTCGATAGGTTATTGCAAATATGTAAAGAAGCTGCTGAGTCTAGCAGAGTCGACTTTCGAAGAGGGTAGTCGTTAGAGGCGGTCGTTTGGCTAGCCTTAAAGACAAAGGCAGGGTTTGCGTGCCCAACGATTCTTCCGACTATCCGATTCTTCGGTAGTTGCTATGCCTCCTTCTCATGACGGATTTTTCCACCTTCTTTCTCAAATCTGGGTCATTTTCAAGGGCCTTTTGCACCTTTCTTCTATTCGAGGATTCGAATCACACCACGAGGGCGTTTATCTTCGAAGAGAGCCCAGCAGTCAGAAAGAACATGACTTATCCGTCCACACGCAGGGCATCGGTTTTTATCGGTTTTATCGGTTTTCTCTGTGTTTTTGGTTGTGTCAGGTTTCTTCCCTTTTCTCTTCTTTTTCGGTCTTTCTTCAGAAGGGTCGTTTTCATCAGTTTCTTTATCAGCTAGAAAGCCGGCACCTCTCTTGATTCCTCCTTTCTGCTGGTGCGGCTGTTGCTCTGCAATTTCTCTGATTTTCTAGCAACAAGCTGAAAGGTCCAGTGAGTCGAAGAAGGTGGTACTGCTGCCAAAGTAGGCGTGCTTCCGATAGAGTCTGGTCGAAGAGCTTGATAGACCCTATATTGAGCAGTTGCTGCTTCTTCATCGATTCTTCGGCTGTCTTCGTAGAAGATAGTGGCGTATCCATCGCTAAGAGGTCGGATGACGCTAGCTATATCTCGTAGCCACTGGCCTGTTAGTGCCTCTGTCACACATAGGATATCAGCCTCCAACAGTCTGACCCCCTATTCGCACAGTCCGTTTCCACATTTCCCCACAGAAACTTCTAGGAGGCATCATCAACGCATCAGTGGCTTCCAGATGATCCGATCAGATGCTTCCATTCACTACCATTCCTTCCATTCTCATATTCAGGCAGTCTATAAAGATCTCGCCTCTTTCCCACCTTAGATAGCAGAATCAAGAGTCTTCCAGTCCCTGATCTTTATGCCCACTTGCTCATCCTCCGTGCGATAGTTATGAGCCCGGTCTGCCATTGACTGGGTATCTTATTCTCGTTCATTCCGCTGCGCAGAATAGCTTCCACAATGAGCTCAGCTCTAGATCTTGATGGCTCTTCCAAGGGCACCGTGCTCAACGGCCCTTGCGACTGGAAACAATGGATTTCTATCATCAAGAAATTCGCCACGTCCCACAGTCTTTGGGACTTTCTGGACCCTGCCGTCAAGGAGGGTAAGCCGGTTCTTCAGCAGCCAGTTGAACCAACATTCCGACAAATCAACCACGAAGCATCTGATCTCGTGGATCTGACCTCGGAGGAATTTCGCCGTCTCGAATTCCTCCACACCCAATACCGCTCGAAGCTTCAAGGGTATAGGGATCAAGTGAAGGCACTCGCCAGCCTTCAACAACACATCGTCAAGACCATCGGCAACTACTACAGCACCATTGCCGAGGAACACGACGTTGCAAAGCAACTTGCCTTGCTTCAGGCTCGTGTGGCCCCAACCGACTGGGCACTCGAGAGGAAGTTGTTCAGCGTTATCGTTCCACCCTTCAGTCGCCAAACAGGACCAAGATCGAAGCTTGGGTCACCCAATGGCAGAAAGTCCTCACTGAGGCAAAGCAATTAGGGCTTCCTGATGTCCAGGACCTTCGCCCTACCCAAGATTTCCTACAGGCTGTTTCGTCCATCAACGCCCCATTCACAGACTATTGGGTCAACAAAATGGAAGACGAGGCCGTATTCGGCAAGCCTGATTGGAAGACCGACTTCCCGGACGGCATTAAGATCAGTGAGATCTTTGAACGAGCTCACCGAATCAAGGCCGCCAACAACAGCAAAGGATCATTCGGAGCTGCCTTCCAAGGCAAGGGAGAGAAATCGGAGAGGAAAGAGGACAAGCCTAAGTGGTCTTCAAGCAAGAACGCTGATGGTGTTCCTATGTGTGTCTGCGGAGAATATCACCGCTTCGTAGATTGCTTCTATCTCATCAAATCAGCTCGGCCTGATGGCTGGACTCCTGATCAGAAGGTTGAGAAGAAGATCAAGAAATCCTCGACTCAATCCATGGGCAAAGAAGATGACGGAGAAAGCACAAGACTTCAAGAAGAAGGAAATGGAGAAATCGTCCGACTCCTCCGTTAAAGGTACAGCGTTTGCCGGTCTTCTACCAGCTCCTGACAACACACCGCCTCCTCAACACCTCCATCAACCAGTTTCTCGACGGGAAAGGCAGTCTACCCGCTGTATGACTCCTTTATCCTTGATTCCGGATCAGACACACACATTTGCAACAACCGATCCCGTTTTCTTGACTACACCGCCCTTGCAGAGCCAGAAGAGCTCTTTGCAGGCGATAGTCAACTTCAGATCCTTGGCTACGGCACAGTCCGTATGAAGCTTGAAGAAGGAGGACTTTTTCAGCTCAACGAAGTTGCCTTCGTGCCAAAATTCCACACCAACATCGCATCCCTCGACCGCTTTCTTGCGAAGGATACAACTGGAATCCACTATCTGGACGCGTCTCTAAAGACGATCAGATTATATTTCATACGAAACGCCGCTTTCGTCAACCGGTCATCGAGTTCAACCCGATTAAGGAGGACTCTCACGCCTCCAACTTCACATCTTCATCTGCACCTCGCGCAGTGAAAACAGCAGATGCTACGCTTTGGCATAAGCGCCTAGGTCATGAACGCTCAAGCCCTAGAGCATCTTGTTGAGAACACGACGGGTTCGAAGATCAAAGGCCCAGTTACCATCGATTGCACCGCGTGTTCCCTTGGGAAGGAAAGAAGGTCGTCTCTCGCCGAACCCCTCAAAACCGAGCCCCAGACCATTCTGGAGAATCTACGTTGATATCTTCAGTATGAACACCTCATTCAACGGCAAGGAAGCTGTTCTTCTTATCAAAGATGAATTTACAAGCATGATCTTCATCTACCTTCTGAATGACGCGACACAAGGGTCCGTTATGACTGCTTTGAGAAACCACGAGGCAATGGTTCAACGCCAATGGAATCTCAACATTTGCATTATCCACCGTGATAACGATCGTTCTCTTCAGAGTGCGTATGAGAGCTGGATCGAGGAAAGGGGATTCAAGATGAACCTTCTGCCCCACTCCCGCTCAAAACGGTTCTGCAGAGCGATCTGGGGGTAATATCTGCCCAGGCCAGAACAATGGGAATTGATGCCAATTTACCATCTGATCTTTGGCCAGAAACCTGAAAGCTGCAGTGTTTTTGCACAACAGATCGCCCATGCAGAACCACAGCTTCCGAACGCCTTTCCAGCTGCTTCATCAGTGGCTGCGAGACAACAACAGAGACATAGGCTACCAGCAAGACCAGCCTGACATCACGTTTCTCAAGGCATACGGCTGCAGAGCCTATCCCTTGACACCCCAGGCCATTCAGAACAGACAGAAGAAGGACCTAAAGACCGACCCTCACACAGAAATCGGTTATCTCGTTGGATATGATTCCACGAACATTTTCAGGATCTGGATTCCGTCCACATCAGAAGTCCGAAGGGTCCGAGATGTGACCTTCAATGAAAGCATCTTCTATGACGGAAATGATCAGCCACCAGAACCTATCCCGCAGCGCGTGGAGTACAGCTTCCAGCCCACATCGAGGACGAGTCGGATTACGAGGAAATCCCCACTCAAATCGATGAACCTGAACCTGACCCCGTTGAGCAATCTCCTCAACCTCAGACCAAGGAGACGCCACCACGATTGTGGTACAACCCGAACCATCTGATCATGAGGACTCGGATGATCAGGATGAGTTTCATGACATTCAGCACCCATATCCGACACCGGACCCCGGTCCGAGTGACTCTCAGCCACGGCGCTCAGCCCGCACTCCAAAGCCTCGCAAGCTCAGTGCTTTTTCGACCAACACTAAGGGTCAATTCCACAGCTCTTTCTTTCTCGGCAGAGAAAAACTTCACAGACGACACCTTCCTCCCGAACCTACGACGTATAAGGAACTTCGCACCCACAGATTTGGTCCTCAGTTCAGAGAAGAGCCCACGCCGAGTGGAAAGCACTCCAACAGAGAGGAACCTTCAGAGCGGTCCCCAGAGACCAGGTCACGGGCAAGCTTTTGCCACTTACCTGGGTCTTTAAGTATAAGTTCGACAAGCATGGCTTTCTTACAAAGTTCAAAGCCCGTCTTTGTGTTCGAGGAGATCTTCAACAGCTAGGTGACAAGGACACCTATGCAGCAACCCTTGCAGGACGTTCTTTCCGGATTCTCATGGCCATCACCGCCAAATTCGACCTTGAGACCCGACAGCTCGACGCAGTTAATGCCTTCACAAACGCCCTCTTAGAAGACGAGGAGGAGGTCTATGTAGCCTTCCCAGACGGATACTACAGACAGGGATGGGCTCTTCGCCTCATGCGAGCCCTCTATGGCCTCCGACGGTCCCCTCTTCTTTGGCAGAAGGAACTCACTGCTGCATTCAGAGAGCTTGGTCTTACACAGTGTCCCGACGAACCCTGCATCTTCCAGAACGACTGGCTCACTGTTTTCTTCTTCGTTGACGATATTGTTTTCCTCTATCGCAAGGAAAACGAGGACGCAGCTGATGAGATGGTTGCAGCCCTCAAGAGGAAGTACGCGATGACAGACCAAGGGGAATTACAATGGTTCCTTGGTATCAGAGTCCTGCGTGACAGACCCAACAGGAAGCTTTGGCTATGCCAAGACTCCTACATTGAAAGGATGGTTCAACGGTTCGACCTTCAACGGCGTGACCACTTCAGAGGAGCCCCTTTCCCGTGCAACGAAGTCCAGCCGCACACAGGGCAGGCTTCTCCAGACCAAATTCAGCTATACCAGAGCAAAGTTGGATCACTGACCTACGCCGCAGCTATCACCCGCTCGGACATAGCCAAGCCAGCGTCTAAACTAGCTGAATTCCTCAACAACCCTTCCGAGCATCACTCCAAGCTCGCAGACCATCTGATCGAGTACCTTTACGCCACTAGGTATCTCGCCATCCAGTTTTCAGGAAAACCCTGCCTCGACGAGGATGTTGTTCCTCAGCTCCACGCTCAACATCATAGCGATTTCAAAGCGCATCCGACGCTGCTTTCGCTGATGATAAAAGACTCGCAAGTCATCCCAGGGTTCAATCCTTACCCTCTTCGGCGGCCCTATTGCTTGGAAAGCCGGTAAACAGGATACAGTCACCACTTCTTCCACAGAAGCTGAATTGCTTGCTCACGCACACGGCAAAGAGACTATTGCAACCTTCCGTCTCTTTGAGCAGCTCTCTTAAGCTTGATGGAATTCCGACGATCCAATGTGACAACCTTCAAACCATTCGTCTTGTCACACAGGATATTCCACGCCTCCGCACAGCCCTTCGTCACGTTGACATCCACACCTGTTGGGCTAGGCAGGCATTTGAGAAAGGCCTCTATAAGCTCACTTATACGCCTACTTCCCAGATGATTGCAGACGGCCTCACCAAAGCTCTGCCAGGCCAGAAATTTGCTACTTTCGTCAAACAACTCGGTCTCATCGATATCTCTACGTTGCTAGGGATCTAGTTTCTTTCTTCAGTTTGCACTGCCCACTAGCCAGCACAACCTGGGGGGGTATGTCACACATAGGATATCAGCCTCCAACAGTCTGACCCCTATTCGCACAGTCCGTTTCCACATTTCTTCCACAGAAACTTCTAGGAGGCATCATCAACGCATCAGTGGCTTCCAGATGATCCGATCAGATGCTTCCATTCACTACCATTCCCTTCCATTCTCATATTCAGGCAGTCTATAAAGATCTCGCCTCTTTCCCACCTTAGATAGCAGAATCAAGAGTCTTCCAGTCCCTGATCTTTATGCCCACTTGCTCATCCTCCGTGCGATAGCCTCAGTTAGGAAGTAAAGGTCAGCTTCTTCTATAATCTCTTCCCACTTAGTCAGCCAGTCTAATATGTTAGTCTTAGTACTAGTACGAAGGTGACTCGAATACTGCTTCCTAATTCGGTCAGTCATAAAGCCGCGTGAAGGAGCAGTCGATGCTTCTAGCTTCTGCAGCCACTGTCTAAGCGTCTTCTCGAAGGGAGGTTAGTTTAGCAGTGCTAATAGACTCCGTAATAGCTGTCCTGGCTGCCGTGATTAGCTTAGTCTCGTAAAGGTATTCCTTACGCCTGCCCTCATATTCATGAAGTGCCGCCGAGTAAGCTCTTTGCTGTTCGCTGGTTAGATTAACAAACTGTCGAACGCCTTGTGCAAAGTCGTCAAAAGTCGGGCGCTCAGGTAGCTCCATAGCTTCAGAGCCATCTTGAAAGATCAGCTTGTGGATAAGCTTATCCACTCGTGCTCGGAGCTCCTTGACCCAACGGTCCCAGTCCTGGGGTTCAGTTAGAATTGTCCGCTTCGTCGGCGCCATAGCCGAGGTCTTCGACATCTTCAACTGCCGTAGAGGGCCGAAAAGGTGGCGAAGATAAGCCGAGGTGGTGTGAAGCGTGCGGGAAGAGGGTTCTTTCTCAAGGTTGCAATTTTGCCACCGGAAGTTACAGAAACAGGTCTGTTTCTCCCGGGCTCATAACTCTCGCGAAGAAGAGAGCATAAGTGGGCATAAAAGTGGATAAAGGGACTTTTCGTAGGTAGATTCTCAGATGATCTGATAGTCGGTGATGTGCATGTGTTTTTTTTTCTGTCCAGTTGCCCTGTATCCGTCTAGCCCTCCCCTTTTATATCCCTCTGTGCCTTCCCTATGTTCATATCCCGTGTTCAGGTATAATATACATTCTATCAGGAAGAGGGCACTCCTTGCCTCTCACTGAAGGCCGCGTAAGCCATCTACGTCAGCACATTCAGCTCGATCTCCCCGATCAATAGCTTTCCAAGCTATTAGGTCGATAGTTCAATCTCTTGAGGTCCCCGAGCCAGTAAAAGATATACCGGACTCCTTGGAGGATCCCGATCGAATAGGAGATCCTCCGGACCCCTCAGTGGTCTAGGAAGAAGAAACAATAGTCTGCAGACTTCCCTTCTTACCTGGTTTCAAGCTGTATTACCTAGAGAGACCTAGGGACCTCAACTCGTTCGGACCTTCTTCTCGACAGTATCCCGCATAAGAGGGATGTCTCATTACCCTGGTCCGATCGCAAGATACGAGGCATAGCGTGCCGCTGGTTTAGTACGTGGAGGTACCGGTATAGTTTTGCAATTCCAGCTCGTACTGGACAAAAACCCACAGTACAACCACGTAATATACCGTGAGTACGGTCAATACCAGCATAGTGTTACAGGGTCAGCACTGTTGGCACAGGTGCTGAGCGTACAGTAGTTGATGTAAATTGAAGGTTCTCCGAGACCTCTCCAAAAAACATGACTTCAGCGACCAGAGGCGAGCGAATCGATGCATGACGATCGAAGATCTCAAGGAGCAAATCGAAACGACAGTTAGCACGACAAAAAAATCGGTCAGGCTTGAGGAACTTCGGATCCTTGCTGTTCTCTTTCTCCTTCTTCTTGCACCCGCTGGAGCTCGCCCCACATCCATCCTGCGTCTCCGGTTTGGAGACATCCGGCTCGCACTGGTGAAAGTGTCGAGAAGAAGGTCCGAACGAGTTGAGGTCTCTAGGTCTCTCTAGGTAATACAGCTTGAAACCAGGTAAGAAGGGGAAGTCTGCAGACTGTTCTTTCTTCTTCCTAACTGGATGATGGTCCTCAAAAAGTGGGCCGGAATTCGGTAGCTCGCAATACCCTGGATCATACTTACCCCTTTCACCAACACTCCTCATCTTGATGTTCTTACTGTCATTTACCATGAGTCCTACGTCTGCCCAAAGGCTTTTACGATGATGGTGCCTATTGTCTGTGCCCGCTGTGGCGAGGAGAGGCCGGCAGTTGATTTCGTCAGCAACAGGAGCTCGGCTAGGGCAACTAGGAACTGCCTGAGCTGTCGCGACCAGCGCACTTCTCCTGTCAGGTCAGTCTCCCACTTTGGAGGTTCAATACTGACGAATTGAAGTACGCTAGGTCCAGAGGCGCGATCCTGAGGTTAAGGAGCCTCGCCACCGCTCCTACGTCAAGTGGCTCTCTCGCTTCGAAGAGAACGGACGAAGATGCCGGCCTATCGCCTGCAAAGGATAGGTCGGGAACTCGTCCAACGCCGCCAGAGACACTACAACAACCATCTTCCGTAGCTAGAAGCTTGTTCGGAGAGCACAGCAGCCAGCCTCATGTTGTATTGGGCACGCCGCTTCCAGCAACCCAACAAAGCCGGCGGCTCTTCAGGGCACTGGCTCCCTCGCCTCCCGTGCAGCGAACGACCCATCCAAGAGTCTCACTCTAATGCATCGACTGTCCGAAGCAGCCCTGGTAGTATTAGAGATTACAGTTACTTGGCTGGTAGATTCCACAGAGGTGGGAAAGACTCGCAAGATGATTCTGCCAGGGCTGGGGCGAGAGCCAAGCGGGCCAAACGACAAGGTCTGCTGGCAGCTTTTCACGGACCGAGTCGGAAATGTCTTTGGTCAAAGTGTAGGTGTCGTCATGCTTTCTCGAGACGACTGACGAGGACTCGAGCACCTCAAAGGCATTGCCTAGTCTTGAGCCGTCTGAAAGCAGACTGGCCAAGTCCGGGGCAAGACCCGAGGCAACTGCGCCTACGTGCTCGATTTCGCCTTGAGCAGTCCATCTTTTCGCGGCCTGGCTCCGCGAAGCAACACGTCGATAGGAATATTGTCCGAGGCGAGACGGAGAGACGATGCGCGGCTCAAGGGTGCTTGGTTTGCTTGGGCTGCTTCGAGGCAGTGTCATGGTACTAGGAAAAGGTGCCGAATGTGGCATGAGCCTATGTGTCTCGTTGATGAAGGCGGACTCCACTAATGACGATTAGTACTAAGCGAGGAACCGTGGCTACGGCCAGGGGCTGTACATGTGATTTTATTCAGGATGTTGTTAATCAAGGGGGTGAAGTCTGCAATCTTGTGGCACATGTCTGAGCTGACGGAGAGGCTTGTGAGGGCAGCTAGGTAGTCCTTAGTCGACGCTCTCTCCCAGCTACAGGCGGATAAGCAGGGGAGCTACATGTAGCCATGGCGTTGGCTGCACTCACTTGGATGCGGATCGCAGCAGGCAGAGAAAGGCCGGTGAGCTGCGCGGGGGCGCGGTTGACGACGGGGCCAAAGTGGTGGAGAATGGCGGCCCATCTGGAGCCGATGCGGAGGATGTGATAGACCTTGTGCCTAGTGCCATTGACAAATGGCAACGCATTCTCGATTTCGCGCACGATGGGATCGACCGACTGGCCCTTGTGGTACAGCTGGGCGAAGGCGTATCAGCAAATGCGTCGAAACAGCTGCTGGATCTCATGCTCGTGTTGCCCCTCTCAATGGCCAGGAAGACACTGACAACGGCGCCGCCGGTAGAGCAGCCACCCACCTGGCCAATGTCGAGCTCGTGGCCGTTTCCAAACACGCTGGTTGCGCTGTGCGGCGAATACGTCTTGACCAGGTCGGCGGCGGCAGGGGACAGTCGAGGTGGTGAGTTGTTGCGTGCCTTGACAAGCAGCTGTTCTCGAGACGGGTCGGGCAACGGACCGTTGGCTGCTGGCGATGATGACGGCGACGACGACGGCGATGGCGACGGAGCTTGTTTGTGTTTTCGCGGCTGCTTCCGTACTCGAGACGCCGTCGGGGCTGCAAGCCTCTTCTTGCCTTGTCGGACAATGGCGTCGTCGAGGTCTCGTGGCAAAGGGATATGGAATAGATGCGGCGCCTCTGTCAAGGCTTGCTGGAGGATGCCGGCCTATGCGCACACGAGTCCACGAGTTGTTGTTTTTACTGAATGGAGGGGGAGGGGGGGTGGAGCGGTTACCTCGCCCGTGGAGATGTCGGAGAATTGCTTGGCGCGAAATTTGTGGCATAGGCAGCACTTGCCAGAGGCGCAGGCTTTAGCGCAGACGAAAGGTACTTTGGGGCCAGGACGAGCTATTGGGGAAGGTCCGTTATTATGTACCCGTGCCACGCCCCATATTTATTTGGAACTCGCGAGCTCGCACCATCAAACCAAATAAATAAGGATCGGGCCGGAGGGTGAACGTCCGCAAAGAGAAGCCGTGGCCATGCCAGACCTCACCTTGCAAGAGATCGAGGAGAAGGTGATGGCCGCGAAGCCCTGGAAAGCGCCTGGTGAGGACGGCCTTCCTGCGATCGTATGGAAGAAGCTCTGGCACGTGGTGAAGCACCGGGTGTGGACGCTCTTCAGCTCATCGCTCCGAGAGGGCGTCGTGCCTCATCAATGGCGAACGGCCAAGATCATCCCTCTGAGGAAACCAGATAAAGGAGACTACACCATGGCCAAGGCGTGGCGACCGATTTCTCTCCTGTCGACGCTTGGCAAGATTCTGGAGTCAGTCGTGGCGGAACGTATCAGCTATGCAGTCGAGACCCAGGGCTTTTGCCCGCGAACCACTTTGGTGCACGGAAGCGCAGGTCCGCAGACCAAGCACTCGTGCTCCTGCAGAACGGATCTACAAGGCATGGAGAACGGGCAGAGTGCTCAGCCTCATCAGCTTTGACGTCAAAGGCGCATACAACGGAGTGTGTAAAGAGCGAATGCTCGAAAGGATGAAAGCCGAGGCATCCCGAGTCGTCTGGTCAAGTGGATCGACGCATTCTGCTCGGGACGGACCGCGTCGGTGGTTGTCAACGGGCACACTTCCGAGCAACAACCCCTGCCGCAGGCCGGCCTACCCCAGGGATCCCCTCTGTCGCCAGTGGCTTTTCTTTTCTTCAACGCAGACCTGGTGCAAAGACGGATCAGTAACAACGGTGGCTCTATCGCCTTCGTGGACGATTACTCTGCCTGGGTCACGGGGCCAACGGCAGAGTCAAACAGAGATGGTATTCGGTCGATTATTGATGATGCGCTTGATTGGGAGAAGCGCAGCGGCGCCACTTTTGAAGCAGAGAAGACATCCGTCATCCACTTCACACGCATCACGGAGCGCAACAGCGACCTGCCTCTCATCATCAAAGGAAACGATGTCAAGCCGAAGAACAACGTGAAGCTGTTGGGAGTCATCATGGACAAAGCGCTTCGCTTCAAAGAGCACATCGCCAGAGCAGCCGCCAAAGGGCTGGCCGCGGCCATGTGTTTGAAACGACTGAGAATGGCTTCACCACGGACGGCGAGGCAACTGTTCGTCTTCGAAGATGAACGTCAAGCATGCGTAGGCGTTTGTGCCGGCAGCGTCGACAGCCGCCATGCAACTGCAGGCTATGGACGAGGGCGACAAATATTAGGTACCATGCCCCACCCCCCTTTGGGTAACGTACTTCACCCCCTACCGTGCCACGCCCCACTTTATTGTCACTCGTAGGACTCGCACCACGCCTTTACTGGCTGGGACGACACAACATACCGTAAGTGGAAAAAGAACAATGCCGCGGAAGAGCAAGAACAGCACCAAGCGCAACTCGAACCAATTCGAGTTGCTCGATGACGAGGAAGACGGTACGAACGACAATGTGGCCTGTAGCATCGTGGCCAATTCGACAAGCGCGGCCGACGCGACAAGGACCAGCGCCCGCGGTCGCCCTCTGAAACCGACGCTGCAATTCGACCCTGAACCGCGCCCATCACGAAAGAAATCCGCCGTCCCGAAAGCGAAACCGACGAATGCCGACCCCAATGCCAACGAGGATTCATTGGCGCGAATCGAAGCTCTCCTGAAACGCGTCGAGGAGCGGGCCGAAAGGGCGGAGAAACGCGTCGAGTCTCTGGAAGAGTTCATCCGAAACGAGCTCTTCCCACGCGTCGCTAGCCCCCGGGAGTCCGCCACTCCAAGTGCGCCTCATCAGCAACAGCAACAGCCCCTGCCACTTTCGCCACCACCCTCTCCGGTCCCAGGGCCACTGCCTGGCATTGGCTTGGACGTGAGTCGGGTCCTAGACAGCGACATAAAGGAAGGCAACGCCGGCACTATTCGTCGGCGCGCGAACGCTGCCCTCGAGAAGTTGGGTGTGACCTGTCTGGGCGTCAATTCTAAGGGAAAAGGGCGTTTTCGGCTTCTCTTTCGAGAGACGGACGTCGATAAAGTACGGCAGAACGACACCTGGATAAAGACACACTTCGACAAGGGAACGCTATATGGGGAACAGTGGTACCCTCTACGGGTTGATAGAGCCCATCGTGGGGTTGCGACGGATGATATCGGATGCGCCGTGTTTGAGCGGATGAACGGGGTGAAAGTGCACAAGATGCGATGGCTCGGGACAGCGTCTGTCGACAAGGAATACCGCTCTCTGGTGGTACACCTGGATAAGAAAGAGGAGGTGGACAGGTTGCTTGCACAACGAACGGTTGAGATGGCGAATGGCGAGTGTGCATACACGCGACCATTTGTTCAGGGACTTCAACCAGCGAGATGCTACCGTTGCCACCTCTACGGACACTTGCATTATCGCTGCAAGGCGCCAGCTCCGATCTGTGGACAGTGCGCCCAACCGGGCCATTCTGCGTCGACTTGCACCTCGGACGTTTTTAAGTGTGCAGCGTGCGGTGGAAAAGGAGCACACAAGGCTACAGATCCTGGGTGCCCGGTATATCGCCGGGAACTCGCCAAGTTACGACCGTCGCCCTACTAACATACATCCTCTGTCTTAACCTTTTCTTTTCAGCACAAACCCTCTACCTATACCTGTGGTTGCCCCACAGCTGGTAGGTTAGCTACACCGGACGGCTAAAGGCAGGTGGACTCTTCGTCAAATGCGGCGGAGGAGAGTGGTCTGTACCTCATCAGACAGGCTCCAGAATTGGAAGGGACAGGTCAAGTGAGCAAGAGACGGATTGAAGGATGTAAGAGAAATTCAGGGATTAGATCGGGACGAATTCCTTGGGCTCGGAACCGAGTATTGGACAGCTCTAGATTAGGCTTAGCGAGTCTGACGCAGTGCCTCTGACTATCGTCAATGGCGGAATATAATAAATAAAAAAATAAATTTACTGGCTGGCCTCGACTTCTGCCGCCTTGCGGCCCCGACCTCTGCTGCCGCCTCGCGGCCCGACTTCTTCTCGTCCTTCCTGGCACGCCTCGCGCTGCCTCGCACCCTCTGCCGCCTTTACTGGCTGGCCTCGCCTTCTGCCGCCTTGCGGCCCTGACCTCTGCCACCCAGCGGCCACGACATCCTCTGGACTGGTGGGCCGCGGGGCCCTGAGGAGCTACAAGAGCCTAGATAGAGCTCAAGGCCTCACCCAGGTGCCCCTGGGTTGCACACCAATTGACAACACCTCCACCACTGCTTGCTACGAGGAGTAGGCACGGGGACTTCGCCAACTGTCATGACCACGAAGTGGCCGGATCGAATGCTCCTGCGGGAGAAGACAATCGCCATCGGGGCTAACCCCCGACTAACATACCTACACTCTCTACCTCCTTTCTTTTTTTTTCTGCCCCGTAGACCCCCGAGGGGGCTTGCGGCCGGCCCATGACTTCGTGTGCTTTCTCAGTCACCCGGCCTCGGCCAAAGACTGACTACTATTACGGCTTCACTGCCGTGCCTGGAACCTGCTGACGGGGGAAGGGCACCGAATTTCCGACCGGCCTCAGAGCCTCAGAATTGCTAGATGGAGTGGTTAGGTGCTACACACGATCCTTAGTCCAGGTAGACGGGATATTCTATGTATCTAGTCTTCTCTAGCCTAGCACGTCTTTTGCCCTTATAGGGATGTCCCAGACGGTAATTGTAATATAGGCTAACTGTGCGAAAAGACTGATATACCCTGTGTGACAGCCTGTCACGTGCCAGCTGAAGCAGACCTCCGAGACATTTCGGAGGTAAGCGTCAGAAACGGGAGGATGCTATTATGTTAAAATCTCGCGAAGATGAGAGCAAAAGTGGGCATAGAAGTGGATAAAGGGACTTTTCGAAGGTCGAGTATCATATGATCAGATGGTATGCGAGAATGCATGTGTTGATTGCTCTGCCCCCGGTTGCCCTTTTCCCGTCCAAACAGCCCCTTTTGTATCCCTCCAAGCTTCTCCCAAGTTGATATCCCGTTTTCAGGTATAGTATACATTCTATCAGAAAGAGGGCACTTCTTGCCACTTACTGAAGGCCACGTAAGTCATCTACGTCAGCAACATCAGCTCCATCTCCCCGATCAAATAGCTCTTCTAGCTATTAGATAGATAGTTCAGTCTCTCGAGGTCCCCGAGCCAGTAATAGTTATGCTGGACTCCTCAAAAGGTCCCCGTTCGAATAGGAGATCCTCCGGACCCCTCAGTGGTCTAGGAAGAAGAAAGAACAGTCTGCAGACTTCCCTTCTTACCTGGTTTCAAGCTGTATTACCTAGAGAGACCTAGAGACCTCAACTCGTTCGGACCTTCTTCTCGACATAAAATGATCTCACCTCTCAAGCGTTGAATAGGCTCTTTAGAGATCAACAATTGCATCACTGGCCCCCGTTCTTCACTCTCTGTTTCGTCGTGATTGTGCGCCTTACACACCCTCCCTATCCTCTTTACAACAATAGTAGGGAGAGAGGCTCTTCTAACCTTCCTCGGGAAGACGAAAATAGGGACGGCGACGTGGTTTGCGAAAGAGTAACCTAGGGACTTCTAGACCTCTAGAACCCTAGGGGTGAACAATAAGGCGTGGGACCAAAAAGACTGACCTTATACTTGTTTCCCTTTTTCTTTCCTATACACCCTGCTAGCTATTTAGCTAGTAAAGCTAGCTATTAAATTAGCTAGCTGCAGGAACTAGCCCTGCCGCGTCATAGCCTAGACGGCCATATACGCGTAATGAATAAAAAAAAAGGCGCCAGAAAGACCGCGGTCACGGCAAACAAGACACCCGCCTCGGTAACTGCCTTGATAGTTATCTCGTCCTGCATGTTGAAAAGTGGCAGCCTTCAACGGTGGAGAGGGTGGAATTTGGACTTGGAGTAATAAAAAATAAGTTACCAAAAACAAGCGTTGAGGTTGAACTAGGAACAGATCAACAGACTATGCTAAAGTAGAGCATCCCCGACATCCCGCACCAAAGAAAACAAATAAGCAACCGACCAGCGGCCAACACGAAGAAGCAGCATCTCGGATCATTCTAGCTGATCATTCGGACTCGTAGTGCTGCATTCTCGATGGTTGGGCAAATTTCCCTAGTATGACCCTTACTTACGTGATACATTCTCTTAGACACACGGATCTAAACGGCCTGGCCGCCTGCTTAGATGGTCACTGACGTGTCTGATTGCTGAAATCAAGACCAATGATCAAGTCGCGGGGCGTCCGGTCACGGAGTTGCGCCGCCCGTTCTTCCGGAGTGTTCCAGTGCGCCCTAGAGTTGGGCTCGGATTCTGGTCCCTGGCAATGATAGTGGCTGGAGAATCTGACCATAAGACTTTCCCACCGTGCAGCATCTTGCCGTTGATCGTGATACGGGGGAACAGCGTGGCCACTATTGTGTGGTTTGCAATACCAACTTTGCCGGCGTTGCGAACTCCAAACTCGGGGTAACTCTCCATATGCTCGTCTTCACCCATGAGAATCGTAACTTGAACAATATCACTGGCTGGCTGAGCTTCGTGAACCCATACCTGGGCTGCTCGGCGCAAAAACTCATCGACCCGCCGATGGAACTCTTGCACATTTGCACGCGAGACCAACCGATCGAGCAGCCTTAGGATATAACCTCCAGCATCGACTACCGCCTCCGCAGCCGCCTCCAGCTCTGAATCGTCTTGGAATTTGGTAACCTGGTGGCGGAAAACTTGTTGTAGCTCTTTTTCTTCCTCGAAAAACTCGAGCATCTGGTCCGCTGCCTGCTTAAAGTCATGCGGGACGTAGAACGGGCGAAAGATGTACGCTGAGAGAGCTTCACAGATGACGGCCTGTCCCGCCGCACGGCGCATTAGAACTGCCTCTTTGGTAGCCCCAGTTGACAAAGGGAGACTAGGAAAGCGGGATTGCAGGCTTTGCAATGGGGGATTAGAAGTCTATGACACTGTCAGTTAATGTCTGTTAACCTCGCTACGGTAGCAGCCAGCTCACCCTTGCAGCCTCGGGGTCGGACATGAAATTCTTAACAATGGTGTGGGATACTGCTGCCAGAGAATTCAGCTGTTCTCTACTGTAGAAGGCGTCAGTCAACCGTTGTAATTTTAATAAGGCAAACCAGATACCCACAGTCTTAACTCTCGAGTCTCGTCCACGTCATGAAAGAAACCAGAGCCAAGGTCTCCTCTCGCCTGCATCAGCTTCAATCTCAGATCGTCGCGTTCAGCTTGAGCCGCCTGGAGCTGAGATCGGTGTATAATGCAGTCTCTCTCCATTGTTTCTGTCTTCTTTTGGAGTCGATCACGTGCATTATTGGCCGAATTGGCATTCAACTCGAGGGTTGCTACTTGTTTTTGTAGAGAAATGTCCCTGTCCTTGATCGTCTCTAGTTCCACTTGGAGTTCCTCCATCTTCCTTTGGTGAGTTTCCAAGATGGCCTTGTTTTGGTCAAATATCTTGTACTGTTCGCCAAACGTATGTGCTAGCACGGACCTCTCCCTAGCCGCGGCCGCCTTATGCTGCACCAGTTCCCCATTTAGCCGCAGGACTTCTTTTGTCTGATCGCCTAGCTCTCTCTCGAGTCGTTGCTTTTCGTCGATGAGGTGGGCGTAGTTTTGTATAGCGTCGGCGTCTCCTCCTACTTCTCGGGCGAGGCAAATGAGGGACCAAAGTTTAGAATCTTTACTGGTTTTGGAAGGGGGCCCTCTGGCTGCCGGCTTTACCTTGGACTCAGCCATAGCAGCGAGAGACTGAATCCGCTCCCTGAACGATAGATGAATCATTTGGCTGCAGAGCCAAGCTGAAGAGGGCTTCGTCTCCATATCATATAGGTGCGCCGCCAACACCCACCCTTATTCCACTGGCCGACCTCCAACTTGGCAGGCAGAATTTGAACCTCAGTTCTGCCTGTCGTGTTACCATAGAGGTGGTGTGATTGTGACCAGACTAGATTGGCCAACGAGTGGGGTGCTGGGCAAACCGTTGACACAGCGACCCATGCAGGAGGCCATCCAGTTGTTACTATATGTGGTTCTTAATGCAGAGTCATAGATTGTACGCGAGACTTCCCCTTCAAGGACTAGTCGACGTTAGTTAAGGCTACGACGGATGGTGGGCCGAAGGATCACTCCTGGAGTACCAAGGACGAATGGTTCTAGCCACCAACCTGGTGGAGTGCTGCCGTCAGCGCCGCTCTGCAACTCACGCGAGTGAGAGGAGCATCGAGTGCAGGGCCAACAGCATAAGTCGGGCAAATCATAGATTGACACGCTGTTGGGGGCAAATGCGAGACCTGCAAGGACGGCCGGGGCAACGAATACGTAGTTGCAGCCTTTGCATTAAGATATTACATTGCTATAACCAACCGCATATAAAGTACATGTTCTCGGCCGGAGATAAGAGGGACTACTCCACTACTCCACGACCCACCTTGCTCTCAAAATTTAAGCCTCACCCATGAGGTCTCCAGCTTCTCCACCAATCTGCTACCTTCCAGTCACAGGGCCCCATTTAGGCATCGCCGTCCCTGCAGGCATCACCTTCGCCTGGTGGCCGCGAGTCTCAGTTACGGAATTATTCTACATTGTGTCCGTATGTGTTGCGTCGACCAGCGCAATGGCGCCGGCGGGGCACGAGCTAAGTGGCTCCCACTCGCGGTATCGCAGGTCAGGCGGCAGCATACATGTGAAGGACGTCGACTCAATCGGCGAGTATCTATCCGGCGGGCGCGAGCAGCTTCCGCCGAGATCCTCCTGCCTCGTCGATGACGTTCAACTACTCCGGCGGTCGCTGAGGACGCAAAGCCCGGCCTCGGGAGGCGACGGGGATCCCGCTGGCGCACTCGGCGAGGATGGGGTGGAGGGGCCACGCCCGGCGGACCACGACGCGACCTCGGCGTACCAGTCCGACAACGTCGGAAACGCAACGCGACTGATCGACCTCGCCCGAAGCGCGTCCGGGGTGAGCCAGATCACAGCGGGATCGCCCGAGCTTTCGGGAATGATACAGCAGCTGTGCGCTTCCAGCAATCAGCGGCGGCGCTGGCCTCGACGGCCGAGCTCCGGGCCGCCATCGTGACGGAATGGGGTGGGAGGCACATCGACATGCTGGGACAGGTGTTTTCCGGGGCCGCGGTGCCGCCGCTCAGCAGGTCAAGGCCGTCTGGAGCATAGCCCTGCCTTCGTTGACACTATTGCTGCTGCTGCTACTGAGCCTCTGCTGCTCGGTCGTGTTATTGGTCGTGGCTTCAGCTGGCGCCAAACGCGTTGCAATCCTGGCGCTCTGCTTTGTCCCATCTGCCGTATCTTCAAGCTGTCGTGTGGCTTCCCGAATCTTGCTGCTAGGTCTCGTGACGCGACTCGATTTTTCGTGGGCGTAGGGCGGGTGTCGCGCCCTGCCCCACTATGATGACGGCCTCAGCCGACTCTTCCTGATGGAGCTCCTTAATCCTCCGGTGCTGTTCTTTCGAGGAGGATGTCGGTTGAGCTCGGAACGCACCGTATGCAGTGTCGACTCTCGTTCGTCTTCCCGCGGGCGATGTCCGCGGCCAGTTTACCAGCAGCGGCGACATCCGCCCCGCGTGTCTAAATAAGCGTTCACCGTGGTGACGCCGCTCAACAGGAACCGGTGGAACCTCAATATGGAGGCGAACCTGGCGTTCCGGGTCCAGGATCGGTCGACGATGCGCACCTTCATCTCTGAGCACAGGTGGAAGGAGGGCCTGCCGAAGGAGGAAGAGGCCATCATGATGCTCAACTAGGGCGACGACAGCGCGATCCCGGTGCCGGCCGTCTTCATGTTCGTGCCGGGGATGCCGGTCGTCGTGACCCAAAACACCCACCAGGGGCTAAAGCTGACCAACGGCGGCGGCTACACGGCGCTGGAGGTCATCGTCGACAAGGCGTACCCGGGCCACCGCGTCTCGGCCGACACGACGATGCACTTTGGGCCGTGGCGTCGGAGACGACCAAGGAGTACTACTTCGTCGGAATGCCACCGGCACCATCCTGCTGACGCCAATGAGTGTCAAGATCCAGCGCCAGCGGAAGCGGCCGTGGCAGCGCAACGACGTCAGCCGAAAGGCCTGCCGTGCGCGGCGGCCTTCGCATGTACCGACTACAAGGTGCAAGGCAGAACGTTCGAGCGCGTGGCCCTCGAGCTACGGGAGCACGGGCGACGAACGTCGACGGGCGGGTGGTGCCCGCGCAGTGCGACCCGTATGGCCTGTACGTGCAACTCTCGCGGTGCCGGACGCTAGACGCCAGCATGCTCGTCTCCAAGGTGCGGAAGAGAGACCTGGTGGGGAACCGGGTGCCCGAGGAGATGAGCGGCGCGCAAAGCAGGTTAGAGGAGCTGTGCGGCAGAACCATCAGGAGTGCTTCGCTGGCTGGGCGATTGCGCCGAAATCTAGCGGGAGACGGACGAAAGGCGTGGAGGAAAGGTGAGGATCGTCGCCCGAAGTGCGGCGATACGGCGACGACCCACCGCGTTATGCTTGATTGGCAGGATTTATTGATACGGATGGTCATTTCTCTATAAAATTAACAGGTAATTATGTGTCGAGAAGAAGGTCTGAACGGGTTAAGGCCCCTAGGTCTCCCTAGGTAATACAGCTTGAAACCGGGTAAGAAGGGGGTTCTGCAGACTGTTCTTTCTTCTTCCTAGACCACTGAGGGTCCGGAGGATCTCCTAATCGAACAGGGACCTCTTGAGGAGTTCGGCATATCTCTCACTGGCACGGGGACCTCGAGAGATTGAACTATTGATCAAATGGTTGATTGGGAAGATCAAGCTGAAGTTGCTGAGCCTGCTGCGATTGTCTGTGGTTGCCAGTTGCTCTCCTTCACTTTCCAGCATAAGCGTAATGAATGAGTGATTGTCGCTGCCTTCCCTCAGGATGGGGCGTAGTACGCTGGAGCAGCTGACACTTCATGCTCGGCTTGCCGCTGCTATCAGAGCTGTAGTCGTCGGCAGTAAGCTCGTCGCCATCTGCAGTTTGGAATCCGATCGCTGCTTCGTTTGTGGAGGTGATCAGGGCACATCTGAACACCTGGAAACTCTCTACAACGTGGAGGCCAGGGTCAGAGGAGCCTATAGTCCTATTAGGACTATAGGCTCAGCGCTCTGAATAGTCCCGACCATTAAGAGGACTATTAGCCCAAACTATAGCCCAAAAAAGAGATATAAATAGGGACTTAGATTTAGGGCAGAAAGAAAGGAACATGGACACAGAAATACACAACAACTACCCATTTTCTACAATATATGCCCTTTCTGCTGACTTTCTTCGTGAGAGCAGCTGCTAGCCTTGGGCCACGCCACACTTCATCGGCAGCGCGGGCAAAATCCGCTCTCACGCTGTGAGAGTCTCCAGCTCCAAACTAATCAGCAATGAAGTGGAGAGCTCAGCAGAGCAGAAAGCAGACCAAAGTCAGAACAGGCCATTCCAGCGTGTGTCTGTGGGAGCCAGGGGGCCACAGTTACATGGACTGCCGACAACATCTAACGGCAGCAAATAGCGCACCAACGCTAATGTGGAAGGGGGCTATTGCACCAAAAGTAGAACGCGCGCTCCAACAAGTGGTTCGCAATTGACAGTTATGGCATGTGGTCTGTGTGTGACAGGGGCCGAGACGAACCGTAGGATGCATGCTAATTTGTGATTCTCTTGCGGTTATTCGTTACAGTCACAGAGCCGCATTCCAGCTGGTCTAAGCTAGCTGTCAGAGCACGCATCTTCCCGCCAGACGAAAATCTATTGCTGCTCAGCAGAAGGACCAAGCAAGGCAAGGCTCAAGAAGACGCCGACAGTTAGAGTTTCTACGACGGACCCTAGAATGATGGTGAGAAACAAAGCACGCATCAAGGTTCGTACCGGCGGCACAACCACGACCGCAGCCAGCCAAGCTCGTGCGAGCCGAATTCCACTCACCGGCCAAAGCACGCCAAAGGCATCGCAAAAGCACCGAGGGTGGTCGAGGAGGACGCCATCGTCTTAGATAACACTGGCGTTCGCGCCCCGGGGGCCACTTGCGGATTTTGATATTCAGAACAAATAACTCGCATGCAATGGAAATATCATATTGATAGACTGAACTGTGCTTGGCCTTCCGGCCTAAGAAACAGCGATACTAGCGCTCAAACCCGAATGCCAGCGTCTAGAGGCGTGCGCGCGCTGCACTAATCTGAAACGCCGTATTCCACATAGCTGCCTCACAACTTCATTGAAGAGATGAGCTTATTCCGTATTTCTTGAGGGCTCCACGTTCCATCTATTGGGACCAATGCCGTTGAAACAGTTTTGCCTTTCTCCTTTTTCAGTGTTGAGATAGTTGTTTCGTTATTGATCTGAACCTGAAGGTTATAGCTTTGGGGATCACCGCTCGTTTTCTTCATGCGGAAAGTTCTGTCAGCAAAATAATGAAGCCTTTTGGGATTAGCAAGCGCACTCACACCCTGCATATCTAGCCGGAAATCAGTGTCCTTGAATATCGTGTGTTCTCCGTCTGTGATATCTTGTAGTTTATTGTCGGGGATGCCTTCAATAAATGTCTTAAGGGCTTTGCTAGCTTTACCCATGCTGGACTGAGGTTCTCCGTGAGAAACGTGGCGTTTATCTCGTGTCGAGGAGGGTTGGCGATGTAAGGGAGGAGCGAGAAGATATAGCTGGCACTGGTGAAGGATTCGAATTCATCCACCCCCAAACCCCACACCCCACCAGTACTTTCTCGGCAAAATCTTCACTGCGCAGAGAACCCCTGCTTTGCTCTAATAAAATCTTATCCCATCATTAGGCGCTATTGCCTAACAGATGCAGGGTCGCATGCTTTAGATGGATATCGGAGATAGATGTCGGACGGGCAGCGGGCTTTGCTCCTTTCAATCCCATCTAATCATTAGGCGCTATGGCTCATTAAGTGCAGGCTCACATGCTTTAGGCGACAGGGAGGCAACCCGATCGTGGGTTGCGCAAAGGAGCCTTGAGGAACGAGGGTATTGCATTGGCAGGGGGATCAAAAACCAACAAGGGTTAAAGAGGCCTTAGCGGCCGGCGCGGGAGGGCCAGGTATGGAGGAAGGCATTGGCACGAGCAGCCAATGGAAAGTAGGAAGGCCGACCAATCAGGAGGCAGCTGGTACGGCCTGAACCATGCCGACCGGGTGGGCCCTGCGCGGAGATGGATGCGACTTGCTCTGTTCGCCCCTAGCGGCGACGGAAAAACTTTCGGGCGACATGGACGGAGGCGACACGTTTAAAACATGGACGCCTCACCCCGCCTTTCGGTTGCTACAGGTTCTCAAAGCAATGGCATCACCAAAGCAGCAGTCAAAGGGGTTCGAATGGGTGCCGACAACTTTCTCACTCGAGCCTCGCTGGACCACTGAAATCGACCCCGAATCGATCAAGAGAGTGATCGAGGCAACCACAACGGCACGCTGTCTCAAGTAAAATTCTTGGCCCAAGGAGCGTTCAACAAAATCTACACAGTCTGCATAGATGGCGGAACTCTCATTATGCGGGTGTCATTACCGGTTGACCCTGAGTGGAAGACAGCCAGTGAAGTTGCCACCATGGAATGGATTCACGACAACACCGCGCTTCCGCTACCAAGGGTCCTTGCTTATCAAAGTAATCAAGATAATGCTCTTGGGTTTGAGTGGATTCTCATGACGAAGATGCCAGGCAAAACATTGTCTAAGGCCTGGAGATCAATCGACATGGAGGCGAAACAGAAAATAGTTCATCATTTCGCATTGTATGCGTCCGTTTTGTTTAAGAATCAACTGCGCGGCATTGGCAATATCTTCCTAGATCCGAGAGAAAAGTCTCATGGCAAGACCAAGTTTACTGAAGTGGGGAGGATTATCTCGATGCAGTTTTTTTGGGGGAGTCGCTTGCAACAAAGCGTTCCGCGAGGACCATTTCGATCAAGCAAAGACTGGATCGCAGCACGTTTGTCTCTCAACGAGTATGAATGCAAATCGACATTGGCCAATAGTCAAGACGCAGATGACCTCGAAGATGCGCAGAGGACACTGGAAATCATCCAAAGGCTCCAAAGCATCCTCGGCGATGTCTTTCCCGAAAGAGCGCACACCGAGAGCCTTCAATGCTCTGTCATGACGACCTTTCTCAGCATAATATTCTGGTGGACGAAAGCGGTACGTTGACTGGAGTTTTGGACTGGGAGTGCGTGTCAGCGGTTCCACTGTGGAAAGCATGCTCCTATCCTTCTTTCTTGATCGGTCCAAATCGGACTATGGTGCCCGACCGGAGCAGATATCGATTTGATGCCAATGGCGATCCTGGAAGTTTGTATTGGGAGCATTTGATGGAGCATGAGCTGACGCTCTTGCGCTGCTATTTTGTGGAAAGAATGCGAGTCCTTCAACCGCAGTGGGTCAGGGTTTTTGAATCGAGCCGTTTGCAAAAAGACTTCGACTTGGCGGCGAATAGTTGCGATAGCGAGTTCTTAGCACCGCACATTAACGAGTGGATCGATGCGATAGTGGCCGGAACGAAAATGACGACCAGTTTGTACGACCAAATATATACGTCTTGAATTTAGACTGGAAATAGACAAATTGGCTTGCAATCGACCTCTCATACCAATGACGACAGATAGTGACTTAGGGGATGACAAGTTGATACATTGGCGAAGAGTGCCGAAGACTTTGACCCTCTACCCTTTACAACCCAGGGATGGGCATCTTACGAACGGGAATCGAATTCGATAGATTCATTCGACCCCCCTAGTCTTTACGAATGTCGAATCGAATTTCGTGGCGTTGAATTCGATGCGAATTGAGCGGGCCTAGGGTAGATTCGCATGGAATCGAACGCAGCGTATTTCATTCGCGGTCGAATCTAACCGCTGGCGCCCGTTCGATCGATTCTGTCGAACGAGTCTCGCCAAGCTGTCGATGTAGGCGCACGGCAGCCTCACAGGAAAATGGCACCACGGACCGCACAAGGATAAGTATGTGTTGGTGACAGCACAATCGATACTGTACAAAAAGGTCATGTTGAAGCCGAGTTTCGCGTGCAATCTAGCGTTGAGACCACAGGTGTCTGGAATGGGCGCGCAAAAGTGCATCCGCTGGCGAATTGACAATCGAAGGCCGTGTGCGTCATTTGTTGGTCCTGCCTGTGTCAAGCCTGCATTACATGTTCGTCCGATAATGCAAGCCATTCTCTTGAGATGGTTGCCACATCTGCCCTGGAAAGGACTTGAGCGCTGGGGACCTTTGCATCTGCACGCACAGCCACGTACATAGCTAAGTACTACAATCATTGCTTGGTGGCGCCCTGCGAGTTTCTATTCCAAGCGCCGGAATAAGAGGATGACGCACCTGATTGAGCCCAACTCGAGCAACACGCCGCACTCAACTCGCCAAGCGCCGTAACGTTGTGTCGGTCACCCATAATTTTCAGAGCAACCCCTCGATCCGAGCTCACCGCGGCGAAAACAAAAAGTGACTCACACCCACCCATGCCTGTCGGGGGATATGGCTGACCTCAGATTCTATACGTTGAGCTAACGGCTGTGGAGCTGAAGTGCATAGGTGCAAAAACCCCGAACCAACCAGAGTAAAACGTATCCCTCCCTGCAGCCTTTATTACCCTGCATAAAATGCAACAGGAACCAACAGCATACCCAAGCGCTACCAAACCGGTTTTCGGTTCACAGACATGGCGGAACTTCTTCCTCTTCGAGGCCGCTCGCCGTCACTCTGTTGGTGGCGCTCTCCTGCCGAAGGTATCGCCACCGTCTGGAGACGTGCCAGTAGAGCACCGACAACGTTCAGGTACGCCCAGATGCTGCCGCTCGTGAACTCGCTTGGGTATACCAAGAGATGGGCGACGACCTCGACTTGCGACAGAGCCCGCTCCGTGAACACCCGGTTCACCGCTCTCATCAGAAACTGCCGCGTCTTCTTTTCGGTTCCGTCGTCGCCGACGACGCCATTTCGGCATCCTCCCCAGCGGCCGGCTGGCCACCTGCCGAGACGATGGGCAGCAATTCCGCTGCCGCAGCGACGCGCTTCCATGTCGGGTCCTCTACCTTGGTCGCGTAATTCGTCACGTAATATACGAGAGCCATGGTCTTCCGCTGCGTTGCTATGAAGGAGATGTCATAGTTGTGGCGGAGCCACGGCAATCGCCTCGTTCCACTGATTCACCATGGGATGAGACCTACGGATCCGCAGCACGCCGTCCTGTGAGAACGTTGTTTTCTCGACCAGCTTCCAAGGCGCCTTGAAGCGACAGAGGTCTCCCTTTCGCCCCTTGTTGCCCAGGAGTACTCGACGCATGTCGGGTTATGGGTGTGGATCTGCGTCGCGCCGGCGCAGAAGTTGGCTTCTTGAATGCGGCCGAGAACTGTTCGGCACTGTCCACCAGGGATGAGACGTCAGACGTCACCGAACGCTCCGCCTGCACGGCGCAGAGGCCTTCCTGGTCCAAGTCCTGCTTTCCGCGTCAGCCTGCGTCTTCTCGGCCCATGACAGCAACGCCCCTGCCGTTACCTCGCAGAAGACGCTATCGACATAGCGGATGATTCGCTTACGGTACGCGGCTTGTTCCTCCCCGTGGGCGTCGGAAAGCATGGAGCTCAGGTGCGCGTTTCCATGTAACCAGAGCAGCCCGTGGACGTGAAGGAGCCTCGTTCGTTGGTCTCCACGGCACCGTAGTAGTGGCTGATGCGCCCGAACACCGACTCCCCGCCCTGCATTTACGTAATGCTCGAAGAACAGCGTCGTCTCCCGGTGGAAGAATATGGCTGAGCTCATCGCTTCTTCGCGCTGACAATGTTCGTGTGGAATCGTGGCACATGTGCAACGTCGAGAAGAACGAGGGTGCGTGTGTTTCTTCCGTTTTCGCCATCCAGAACATTTTCCATCCTTCGGGTGCCTCGCGCTTCGACCTTCAAGGAACCTTCTCCGATCAGAACGTAGTCGGCTTCCTCAGCTTCGCGGATGTCGGTCAACAGACTCCTGTCATTGACGATATGGGTAGTTGCTCCTCCGTCATAGATCGTCGAATTGTAAAGAGGATGCTTCTCGCGTAGAGCTGAAAAGACCGAGTCGGTGGTTCCACTTGTGAGGCTTTTAGCAGGGTTCCGCGGCATCGGCATCATGTGGTGCATACAGATCACACGTAAGCAGAAACTGTCATGGTTCGGATTCCTATTATGCTAATATCCTCTAGACGCGGTGAAAAGCATACGGAACCTAGGGGGGGGGGGGGGCCGCATTAGGGGGGTTGGGTCATAAAGCGCAGCCGCAATGCTATCTGGCCCCAAGCCTGTCCATGGGATTTATCTTCGAAGCAACTCATTACTAGCCACTTACCGCAAGGCACTGGCATCGGCTGCATGTGTTATTGTGAGGATAAAAGCTGCGGACAGAAATGAAGTCGAAGACACGCGGATGCGACGTGACGATGGGACGATCTTCAATTTCAGCCGGGGTTGCAAAATCGTTAGCCGCGAGATCGTGGAACAAGCAAGGGGCCTCTTCGGAGTTGGCCGAGTGGAATAAGGCTATTTGTGTAAAAATTTCACTTCGAGTACAGTACTGTATCTGCCAGCTCTCACGAAGAAAGCAGGGCAAAGGGCATAATTATTTTGGGGTGCATGTGTGTTCCTTCTTCTTTTCTGTCATAGGCCCTTTATTTATCCCCTTGTCCTGCTTCTTCCTCCGTCTTCCATCTTCTTCCTTGCGGACTTACTAATCCATAGGCACCCATCTCTCCGCGTCAGCGTGCCACGTCCTCCCCGTTTCATCCTGTCTCGCCCTACACCTTCAGCTAGCTATCAGGCTTCAGGACCGAGTCTTAGACCCTTCTTCTCGACACCAGCCGGCTAATTGTGTCCACATAAGTAGCCCGAGTTTTATTCCTCCGAGCCAGGATGAGATTTTGGTAGTTATATTCGGCTCTATAAGTCTATATGAGTCACATACTGTACGGCAGTGGCGGCGACAACGGCTGCAAGTCGTTAACCTCATCTCCCTGGAATTGTTCGCGGCATCGCTAAGTGAGCCATTTACAAATGAAATCATCTTCATCAGTCCTTTTTGAGCACGGATTTTTTTTAATTCATTACGCGTGTGTGGCCGTCTAAGCTATGACGCGGCAGGAGCCAGCCCCCTGCAGCTAGCTAAGTTGATAGCTAGCTTTACTAGCTAAATAGCCAGTAGTGTATGTAAGAAAGAGACAGGTAAGGAAAAATTAACAGGGTCAGTTCTTTTGTTCCCACGCTTTATTGTTTACCCCTAAGGACCTAGAGGTCCTTAGGTTACTCTTTCATAAACCAGTTCGCCGTTCCTATCTTTGTCTTCCCGAGGAAGGTTAAAGAGCTTCTCTCCCTACCGTAGTTGTAAAGAGAATAGGAAGGGTTAGAGGCTGCCCTCTTAGGGCCTTTCTTAGCTGGGTTCTCTCCTTCGTGTAGTTCTTACAACTAAGAATAAGGTGTGAGGCAGTATGTCTCGACGAGCCACACCTACACCCTTCTAAGTCTGTCTTTCTAGCTCTAGCTAGGTAAGCTTTCAGAAAGCCTATCCCTAGTAGGAGCTGGTTAAATGCTGAAAACACCGCGAGGCTCCTATCTGGCTTATAGGAGAAGCGAAGAGCTTTGCTTAGCCTGTCGGTAGTGCTTCCCAAGGCCCTTAGCTCTAGGGCAATTTTCTTCTTCTGCCTTCCATAGGGCTCGCCAGCTATCCAGGCTGGCGATACGGACTGTTTTCGTAGATAGCTAATAGAGACTGTTGGCGTCCCTACTAGCGGGGCCTTTAGCCCGCTCTTGCTAGCACGATCAATGCCACCCATCGGACAAAGAACCACCGACTGCAGAAGCGACGCTCCCTCAAGGAGATGCAGTTCGGGTGTACACAGCAGGAACAGGGTCCAGATACCTTCTCCGTCGAGAGGGCAAGGGGTGTAGCCTCCATGCCTACGACGTTGTCTATGTCAAAGACCACTCTGTTCAATTCTGCGATAGTCACAGCTGTAAGCACTCATCTCCGACCGACAAAGGGTACCGGTACAACAACCACCCGTCCATGCTGGTGGCACCGGGCAGTCAGTGCGGGCGTAACACCCGCAAAGACACCGTTGTCCAAGAACTGATCCATGCGCCACTCTGTTTCCAAAAGAATAGGGGAAAAAACTCACCCTCGTTCGTACCAGTTACACCATGTTCGTCTGTCCCTCGACTGATGCTTCCAGCGCAGTAAATGGACCCTCTTGGTTGCGCACACCACTGCGTGGGGGATTAAAATGCTGTCTGCCGATAGAAGAGAGGCACGAAGAGAGAAGGAAGGAGTTTGGGTAACTCCAAAGTGCGAGCCCTCCGCTCTTACATACCCATTCTACTGGGTTCCTCCATCACGTGTGATTCGCCCTACCCGCGCAAAGTGAAGGGAAAAGGAAATCCCTCGCGGGATTAAAAAAAAAAGGGAGCGGGCATCGCAGCCCTTCTTATACCCTCCGGTGCCCGGGCTTCTCGTCCCGGTCATGTGTGGGGTCAGTGAAACTGATCGTAACCTGACCAATTGACGCGGCGTGGTCCTCCGCCCCCCTGCCTCTTATGACGATCAAGTCGCTCCTTCCAGTCGCAGGCCCAACGGTGTATTGTTTGGGTGTGGAGTGTATGACTAAGTGACTTGGTGTTGTATGTTTGTTTTGGTATTCGTCACTCAGTCCGTATCCATGCGTATTGATGTGTGGTGTCCGTCGTGCGCCCTTGCGGACGCCTACTCCTCCTGATTGATGTGTACTGGGGGCCCTTGGACCATGGCACGAATGGTAAAGCCGATTTCCCTTGCGATGGACAGCAGTACAAAGCAGGCGTGGAACGAAGAAGTGGCTTGGTTTAATGAGCCAATGAGACGGAGGGAGCATGGTACGCCGCAGGATGCAAACGACGTACAGTTTCACTGCAGCATTCATTTCCACAGTTGACCGGGGAAGGGACCCGGTCATATTTCATAGGCGAAGCACAAGGAGAGCGGATCGATCATGGCCGCGTATGCGGCTTGTCTATATCATCCAATGATGCCTTGACAGGGGTAAAGCGGTTATGGAGCAACACGTCGGGGAGACAAATACTTAAGGGTCTTGATGTTCGCTGCCTCAGTTTCTGTTTCAACCAAGACAAGTTCACCCTCCATTACATCCATCTGTGTCCTTGAGGTCACTTGGTTAGCTTCGGAAGCAACCCGTGAGTTCTTGTCCGTTCGCAGGAAACAAATCTGGGCGTCGCCGGACGAGAGTTACTAATCAGTGTCTAGAAACACTAACCATGACGACCCATGGCAACGTGGCTGCACATCAGCAGGAGCGGGCCCAAGGAGCCAAGGGCAAAACCTTTTTCTGGGGCAAGGAGTTCGTACCTGAGAGTAGCGGAGCCGGCTCCCTCTTTCAGAGTCTTTTCTGGCTTGCCAAGAAGCTGTACGAGGGTCAGGTTTTAGATCTCACTAAGTTGACGACGAACCTTTCGTCTTTTGGTGCCCTATATGGGTGCAGGGACGTGGCTGTTGTTGCCGTCTACTTTCTTTTCAACCGTCCCGATGAGATGGATATCTGTTGGCGAGAGCTGCGAGGGAACCTAGCGGTAGCCGCTGACGTGTGGCAAAGGTGGCCCGATACTTTGGCGACCGGAGAGCAGGATTGTACCATGGTCTTGCTCTTTGATCCATCATCACCTTTGGAAGGGCCGTTGGAGATGGAGGAAGCGGTGCAAGCAGTCCAACATTTCATGGGTTATTGTTCCAGAAGGGAAGGGGGGCGTCCCTGCTGGAAGGACGCACACTCTGCCCTCGTCGAGCTTGTTCCAGAGAAGAAGAAGGAACAGTGGTTTGCATCTCGCCTTTTACTACTTTCGTTTTTTGGGCAGCATAGTCGTTGTCCCGGTCAGCCGTTTCCTTGTGAAACGAACTAGCCGACTCTCTCTAAACAACCCCCACTTGCCGCTTTTGGTAGTGACGATAGCTTTATCCCCCTCAGATCGGTGTGCATCGCGGTAAGAGCATCACTGGATGGCGACAGTGTCATTCGCTTGCCAACAGAGCGCCGAAGAAAGTTTATGGCCACACGCAAGAGCAAGATCAATCTTTTCCAAGCGAAAACATGGCACTTTTCTTGGCATTCCTCCCCGCAAGAAAGAGGCAAGGATGCTCACACCCCTTCTCGGGTCTGGGACACTTCTCCAGGCATTTGACCGCTTTGTGCAACACGTCAGAATGGCTCTTCCAAGGTAGGGATGACCGCAGTAGAGTCTTTCAGACGGCGGGTTCTTGGACTCTGAGTATTGTTGCTCTTGGCAGGCTTGGGGAGTCTTGTCCAGCGTTTGATGTTATTGCAAATAAGCACAGGTGCTGATTGACGCCGATCTCCGCGCGCTTCTTATGCGACCCGACACAGCCCCATCTCTCGTCCGATGGTTTCTCAACTTTCGGCCGATACCCCACTACAAGGTAGCAGCAGGTCTCGCGAGAAGCTGGATTGCGTGCACCGCGATAACGACACGATCACGAGCGGACGGAGAATAAAATGAGACAAACGGTAGCAGTGAATGTTTTTATCCTTGCCGGCTCCCAATCACAAACAGCGGCGAACGACCTGCAAGCACCGCCATCAAGCGCGCCCCCCGCCCTTGGTACGGCTCACAATCAGGAGCTTGGCGGGCCGTGGGCGACCGACCAAACACCGGCGAGAAGAGGTCCTAAGAGAAGGAGGTATAAGCGGGATAGAGTTCTCCGTCGCGCCGCGCTGGCGTTGACGGCTATTCGGGTATAACGCGCCTACGGGACCTGACGCCCCGGCCCAATTGGGACGGAGGTCCCCCACCTGCACCAGGCTGGCGGCTGCGACCCTCTCGCGAAGATGAGAGCAAAAGTGGGCATAGAAGTGGATAAAGGGACTTTTCGAAGGTCGAGTATCATATGATCAGATGGTATGCGAGAATGCATGTGTTGATTGCTCTGCCCCCGGTTGCCCTTTTCCCGTCCAAACGGCCTCTTTTGTATCCTCCAAGCTTCTCCCAAGTTGATATCCCGTTTTCAGGTATAGTATACATTCTATCAGAAAGAGGGCACTTCTTGCCACTTACTGAAGGCCACGTAAGTCATCTACGTCAGCAACATCAGCTCCATCTCCCCGATCAAATAGCTCTTCTAGCTATTAGATAGATAGTTCAGTCTCTCGAGGTCCCCGAGCCAGTAATAGTTATGCCGGACTCCTCAAAGGGCCCCGTTCGAATAGGAGATCCTCCGGACCCCTCAGTGGTCTAGGAAGAAGAAAGAACAGTCTGCAGACTTCCTTCTTACCTGGTTTCAAGCTGTATTACCTAGAGAGACCTAGAGACCTCAACTCGTTCGGACCTTCTTCTCGACAGACCCATCTTGCTCAACACCGCGACGACGGCCGCCCGCGGGCCGAGGCAGATGGGAAAGGTTGTATATAGGTTTTCCTCCTGGGCCACCGGGTTTTTCCTATATAGGTAACGAGTAGAGGCTCTAGAGCTTATAGGCTAGCTAGTGTAATTGTCAGAGGGAGCAGACTGACGGTCTAATCCGCACACGTATAAACTCCGGTGAAAGAGGCAGGTTAGACACAGGGACTTGAGTCAGGTATCGATACAGTAGAGGAACGAATCCATAGATTGATTGATTACATAATTGCACGAGCCATGGATTGACGTTGACGTAGACTGACCTCAATAAATTGATCAGCATTGCGGAAGCCGTGGATTGATTTGTCAGCTGTAACTGCTCCCTTGATCTAACTCGTGGCTCAAGTCGCTCCAGTAGATGATATTTCGACCTTTCACTGGTACTTGAGTGGTCTAGATTCAAAAAGAATGACAAAACTGTCTCAGCATACAGGGTGGCTTTTCTCGCCCCTCGCCTATCCAGAAACAAGTAATCAGCAGCTAACTACTGGCAGGACCAGATTGCAAGCCTTGCCGTAAGTATCCGGGCCGCGATAAACAATATGCGGCTGGCGACGACTCTGCTGTTAAATACGTTTTGGATGACCCTGAGTCGAAATTCCGGGGTAAAGGCAGTATTGAACCAGGTGATATTTGCACGCTAAATCTTGAATTTAGGCGCACCTGGTCAAGACCCTGTGCACCACTATGGGCACTGTGTTGAGTGAAAGCATCCAAAGGGTTTAGGCATGGAAAGTGGCCTGGTGCGCAAAACTGCGAATTAGGGGGAGTTCCCAGCGATTCAAGCTGCCGTGCACCAGCCTTTGCCAGCTCTGTTGTCGGGCATGCCGTAGGAGAAGGGAGTGAATGTTCCTCGTTTGGACGGGTATAGAATGCCTGAGAGTACCGAGGACTTGTTTGCTGCACACTTTCCGTTCTAGTCGTTGGTACTTGGCCTAAGGAGGGTTGTTGAGGCACCAACACGTTTGCACATCGACTCGGAGCTGACGACGAGGATTCGGACAAAATATCTCCAATGCCAAGCGTATCCAAATGCCGACCTCCAAAATCTCGGATGTGATCTTCATCTGCACGATAGCTCGGAACCCCTTGCCATTCTGCGTGTGTGACGACGCTGACACCTGAGGTTGCTGGGTCTAGGTCTGGCAAGGGTGTTACCTGATTGTCGGGAGTAGAAGCATTTTTGTCAGTGGAAGTGGCGTCAATAGACATCGTCTCGTCGTTTGCTGTTGAAAGTGGGGCATTCAGGGCATCGAGAGTAGTTTCTTCGCGTGAGCAAAGCGATTGTTGCAATCGTTCGACACCTAACAGCCGATCGTCTCCATCACTGGTGGTGTCAGTATGAACTGGCATTGTTGGTGTCGCATGGGTGTCTGTTGACTGAGGCGTGTCGTCCCTGGAGCCTAGTACGGAAACAGTGTCGTGATAATTGCGTCCTTCAATCGTTTAGTGAGCATATTCCCCATGGTTGTATCTTTCATGGACTTCAGCACGCGCACCTTTGCATTTGTCTGCACCGATGGCTGCAGCTCCCTTTGGTTCCGACTTGGCACGTTCTTGAAGAAAGTTCCGTACATGTTCGACATACGGAACAGTTTTGACTTTGAACCGTGCGGGTCGAACTTGTCGAGATATTCGGCAGCAACCCAAGCGACAGGGCTTTTGCGAGGAAAAGTCCTATTAGTAAAGAACATAACGGAAACTGCCGCTCTGAATTGAAGGGTTCTCCTATTCGGAAAGCGTCGTGCCACGCATACTCCCCTGTTTGCGGGTCTTTCGTGTAACATGGTGGTACACACTCATTAAGAGATGTCTCGTTGAACGAGCCTGGCAGGCCAATATCGGCAAAACTGCCCAGAGGAAGGACCATGACGGCGTGCCACTTATTATTCCAAAGTGCAAGATAGACCTCTCCGGGAACTGGATCAATGACACCATGTTTTGATCGCACAGCACGGCCGCGCGTTTTAGTTTCTGATCGGTCACCGGTGGAGGAGGCCGAAGTATGGCCTTTTTTTTGGGTTGCTGTTCCGCCAAAACGGCCTCGGGGATGTCCGTATTCATCATCCGGTGCATCCTGGCCCGCAGTATTGTACTGTTCTGTCAGGTTGAAGTTGCGGTTATGGACCCGAACGCCTAAGTGTTTGATGGCACCCGCATGCCCTTTCGACCATCGATGATGTTTGCTCCTCACATGCTTTGCGGCACCGGTGATGGTTTTGAAAGCGATTCCATGTTCCCCGCATTGAAGGATGAACCACTTACCACTTATCGGTGGATATTCGACTATCGTGGGCTTTCCCGGTGAAACTTTGTCTTTTGGGAACACGTCTCGAAACGCTGCCGACCCTTCGTCCATCGCTGACGGTTGTATCTCAGTGCGAGCGCGCTTGCGTATTTCGCCCGCAGCAGGGGTATCATGGTTTCGTTTTCTCTGCAACAGTGAGTAAATGTACGGTACTGGGTCTTGGTAGAGGTAACACGCACAGAAATCTCTAGCCCGGGACCATCTGCCGCGTCTTCCTCCAAGAACGCATTCTGCACCGGCGATGGCGGCTGAAGTGGAATGGCTTCGTCGAGGTCGTGTTCCTGAAGTGACCTGTGCACTACGGTCGGGCCAAGTGTCCTCACCACATCATCGCAAAGCGATTGCAGAAGTGCTTGCATTTTCTCATCATGCGCGACCTTCTCGAGCTCTATGAAAGCCTCACGATTGAGCTCGAGCTCTTTCAACTCACCTCCAATCGCCAAAGTCGTTTCTCGAATGGAGCAGAGTTGGTCTGGACTGGGATGTGATGGTATGTCTCTCCACAGACTTTGCAAGCGGTGCTCAGCAAAGTTAACCCTTTCTTGATATGAGTCTTGTGGTGGTCTGATCTTTCTAAAATTTTCACGCCATCGTGAGAGGCAGCCATCGAGGACCGTAGCTTTGGTGAAGGCATCTTTTCTCTGGACAGACATTTTGTCCACGCGAGATATGCGTTCCAGATAATGCGGGCGGCGACCCTAAGCCTCCCGAGGAAAGCAGGACGGTCGAGATGAGGGATTGCGAAGTGGTCAAGCATGGATGAATACTTATCAGATAAACGATATGCACGGCAACTCGTTGCGACAAAGAATGACAAGGCCGGTTGGAGTAAAGATTCCAAGCAAGAAGTGAGAGAATTGAGAAGCCTGGCGCGAAGAGGGCCGACATTGTTCCAGGTTGGCAACTAACTAAGGGGGCGCTATCCCTGTCACGCCCCGCTTATTGCATGTCGATCACACCGATCACGACTTTTGCCCTCACGATACGGAATGGCTGCATCACGCAACTCACGCAGCCTGTGCGAGGTATTGAGTGCGTTGAAGGCCACGACCTGAACTGGCCTTTGCCCCCTTTCCTCAAGTGAGGTTTTCGGGGACTACGGCGCACCGAGGCATTTACAGTCGCGTTTGATATCAGTTTCACCCGCAGACCCCGGAGATAAAGGCTCAGGTGGGCCGCTTTTGGCTGTCACCACTTCAAGCGTGGCTGAGTACGATGAGTACGACCGTAGGCAGCTTGGATATCCTCATAGTAATTGCGGTGCAACAAAATTCGTTCTGAGCTGCGGCTTGCAGTTCGATATGCTAGCGAACCGTCCTGGTTCTTTTTCACCCCTTTATGTAACGTTGAAACGGTGTCTATGGCTCAGTTGCACGCTAGTTGTTCCTCGACTCACAATCTATGTCTGGGGTGGGCAAAGGTGCTAAAGGTGTGATGTATCACGCTGCATAAACATATCACATGCTTAGCATTCACGACGCCTGCCGGAGCTTCATTATGTGTCACTATCACCGATAGAGTGCATAACCGTTGGTGACTAGCACCGTCGCCTAATTGCGGGGTGATTGTCAGCGGCCTGTTGTCGACCTGATGGGGCAATAAGGCCGATGATATACCCAGAGGCAGTGACAACGAATGCAGGGATTTAGTTGCATGGCATGGTGCAGGGCTAGCTCCTCCCGAAATTTGCTTACAGCTGCTTGCGGGACGGAGAATCCACACAATGAAGTGACAAGAAGGCGGATTCGTGTATGCAGGTGCGCTGCGGCATTGTGCATCTAGGCACCAACATGTGACTCGCTTATACTAATCCCGTTAAGGAAACGATATGTGAGTTACTACGCAGTGGCGTCGAAACACTGCCCAGCCTGTCCGCGGATTCTAGCCCCTCAAGTAGCGAATGTGGATGCAGCCCTACACTCCGTGTATGCAGGAACGTGTGGCGGCCCAGTTACAATGTAGCAGCATTTAAGTTGCTCTCACCTTTCTTCTGAACAAAGGCTTTCCCCCTGCAAAGGCGAGGGGTGCGGGGGAGGTCGCCAACAAGGGTCACGACTACGACGATGTACACGAAATGTAACTTAGACTGGCGACTGGTCCTCGGAGTAAAGAAGGTAGCTACAAGCCATGTCGTTAGAGCCTTCGCCCACCCGAAGTAGCTAGCTCGAGATGGCCCATCTACATAAACAATGGAATACGCTTCACTCTAATACTAGGGTCAGTCGTACTGTACGATGAAGGAATCGATCATTCGTCCGATACGCGCCTTATGCTTTACTTTCATACGGATGCCGCCTACTGGGGCAGTAACCAGCCTAGGTCCAAGGCCCGACCGCCTATGCCAAAAGAGCCTCCGATATTGTGGGTCTCCCCGGAGGCCGTAGAGGCCGCCGTGCCGTCTTCCCCACCCCAAGAGACCGCGATTTGCCAATCAAACGGCACGGACAGTACCTGATAGTGGGAGTTAGGCAACCGCGAAGCAGCCATGCGCTTGCTTCTTCTACATAAATGGTCCACATTGTTGGTCATAAACGAATGGCGACCAACAGCCTCCGCTCTGGTAGCACTGCGTCCTGCGATGGTCTAACTAAAAGTTTCCCGAAGGATGGCCGTCTATACTGGCAATCTAATACGTGTTGGTGCCACAAGAAAGCCGCGCAAGAGCCAATGCGCATGGACACACAGCCATAGCTGCACATTCCACCCATCATCAGACTACATGTTCATGCAGAGACCATGCACCGGTGTGCGAGCACGAACCTCCGCCGAGTATGCACACACGCTGTCGTCGTCATCATCGTCGTTTCTCAGCTCCCCTCTCTCTACCAGCTGCCCGCTGCCCCTGCACCCTCTACTACCTACTTAGGCATGTACCCTCCACCACCACCACACCCCTCGCTACCACCGGCAGTCTCCAGAGTCCAGACCGCCTCGGCATCTCGCCTCGTACAAAGACGTCACCTCACGGCTCTGCCCTTTCCCCCTTCTTCTCCGAGATTGTCGAGGCAATTGCCGAACAGTCCCTACTTGCATCTGGCTCTCGCTTGCATGCCTGCCCCATCCGACCAGGGCCTTGCGTTTGCGCGACAGATGTACCTACAGCATCCCTTACAGCACGCCTCACAGCACGCCTCACAGCACACCTGACAGCACACCTTACAGGAGGAAAGCCGCCGTGCATGTGGCATCATGCCCGCGTCCTGTCTACAGAATCCTTGCAGTGACTGTACAATAAGAGCCAGTAGGACATCTGCCGCGCCTCTGGATTCAAGCTAGCCCATCGGAGCGGTGATATTGCCAGCGCGCATTAATGAATCAGCGTGCCATCCACGAGCCAATCGCATGATGACGGCGGCGACGACATGGCCAGCGATATGGACCTTTTGTCGTAGCAACACACCAAATCCCGAGAATATGGACCCGACACACTACTGCCTGTTGCCTGGGAAAATCTGCCTAGGAGTACCACCAGGCTGGTGAGGCGTTGGTCGAAGGCTCGGGGTACCCCAGGCCCTGGTGAGAACAGCAGCCTGTTTTCCCCTTTTGGCAAGCATGGAAAGATTTTGGTTCGGCCGGAGTGCCCCGTGCTCACCGATCGTTGGCGCTAAGTGACAGTGCAGTGCGCCCTTGGGGCCACCCTAGTCGCACGGCCTCTCGGCGATTGTCGCACGGCCTCTTTGGCCGGATTAGGCAGTTGCGACACGTAATTTGGATCCCTCCAATTTGCCTGCGATTTGCATACGAAAAGAAGTATCGCGCGACAACCCGACCGGCGCAAGTAATGCATTGCAATTCAATGATTCCCGCGAGGCTATTCAGAACTGGATTATCTGCTCGTACGGCCGCTTGCGCGATGCCTGGCGCCGTGTGACCCGCGGCTTCGCCTGCCTCTGTATCTGCCCTACGTTTCCCACTTCATTTTGCTGTTCAGAAGGGACCTGCGGTAGCTGCCTTGGAAATCCAACGTAACCTTGTGCCATATCCTGTGAGGCTCGCGATACATCATCCTGTGGGAGCAGCGGCGTCATCAGCGGCGTCATCAGCGGCGTTATTATCTGCGGCAGCGGCGGCGGCGGCGCCTGGATTGCTTGCTGGATAGATACACCTTGTGTAGCTAGCTGTGACGTGAAAAAACGAGGCATTTCGCGATACCCTCGTTGGGGCCCGGGCCCAGTCTGTGAGGCCTGTGGCTCGAATTGCCCCCAGCTTGACGGTATACGTGACTGTGCTGTGTGCGATCGAAAGCTGTGAGGTTGACGTACCGGCTGTAGCGGTTGGGCTGGCTGCTGTATCGTAACGTCGTTAGATATCGTGAACTGACCCTGTGGTGTTGAGGCTGCTGTTTGCTGCATTTGTAGAGCTTCAAGGGCAGCCATGCGTGCAATAGCGGCGTTTCGTTGGGCTTGGGTCTGACGGGGTGCTCGAGGGCGTGCTTGTGACTGTGAGGCTCGTGACGATCCTGCTTGCTGAGGAATACTCGTTGTTATATCTTGCCCAACGCGCCGGCGAGGATAATTCGAGGGTCACGGATGCGTTGATACGGATCAGACTCTGGTAACGGGTTTTTGAGATGCCAATGTCGATCAAAAAGGGATAGCGGTAGCGGCCGTAGCGGTATCACGATCCGCTCAGAGTTGGTAGTTTGAAGCCCGAGATAATCCAATATAATATGACGACAAGGGAGCCCGAATTGTGCTGTAAAATTGTGTGCGCAAGGCTGTAGTGGCGTCCGGCGTGGATTGAGGCGGTAACCTTTAGCAAAACGGTATTCTTGCTGTACCTTTTGAAGACTTAGGTAGGAGACTGATGAGACGACTTCTTGATATAGAAGTTGATTGTATGGATTCCTATTTCTCGTTGCTTCTTTAGCAACGAGAGATGCCGCCGCTGTACCGTTTGCCGTTGGAGTCGTAAGGCGTTATATAGTTGCAAAAGATGTGCAGTTCCGTTCTTAATAAAGCTCTGCGAGCTATTGTGAAGAGATTCACAAGGCGAAGTCGTCGTATGACCGTAGTTACGGTAGGTCTTGGTATACGCCTTCACCCACTGTGGCCGTAGTCGAATGTACGTCGTAGAGAGGTATGAGACTAAGGCTGTTGAAAGTGGTGATCTTAGCTATGGTGTTGAGAGGTAGGCCCGGCAGCTGCCTGCCGGTACGGAATAATAGACTTACCAGGCTGCGTTGAAAAGTCGTTCTGCAATGCTTGCCACAATACCAAAAACTCTGCCTCTGTATCTGCATCACGAAGGCCTTTCCACGCCTTCACGAAGTCATCCGGGGTTCGTTGTGCTCGTACGCCGCGATCCCCATCAACAAGAATACCGATATTCATCGGATCAGCCTCACGAGCGGCCATTTCCCCTACCCAACGCTCACGAGCCGCCTTCTTGATGTTTTTCGATATGCCACGTACAGAGCTGCTTTTGGACCAACGGAAACACACGATCGATACCCCAACGCTCCGCTGCATCGAAGTCGGTAATCACAACGTGCGGATAGAAGGCATCGTCGTTGAGGTCGAGGCTGAGAGCATATTCCGTTATCCAGATCTTCCACTGGCCCAGCGCCCATTCGAAGATACCACCGTTCTCGTCTGGCGAGAGACAGGCCACAAGTGGGAAAATCGAGCCCGAGAGAGTAATGCCGTTTACCTCGAGTAACTTCAGCCCGAACCTATTAGTATTATAGGTCACATCGAGCATCATTAAATGCGAATGCCGGGTCCAGAACTCGAAGCCTTCGTCTAGCAGGAAGACGATCTTCTCGAGGTGTTCGTCATTATAGGTCTCGGCGTGCGGTATACGTATATCGTCTAGTTTTGCTACCAACGCCTGCGTTGACGTTCGAGCCCCAAGTTCACGCATTTGACGCCGGGTCTGAAGATTGGTTACATCCTTCTCCGTTGTCAAAATACCCTCGTTACGAACGGAGAGGGATATATGGATCGTTCGAGCCGTTTGGGCAGCATCGCGAGATAAGAGCTCAACTTCGTCAATCTGGGCCTGCGTGAGTTTGCGGTGTTCTGGGAAGGCGATTGGATCCTCGGGACCGTGGTTGTGCTCTGGGCACATCACCGTTATATGCCACAGGTCGTCAAGTGTAGTCATTTGCACTATCTTGACCTTGAACGGGCAGCCGGCTTTCCTCGTGCCTGACTCGCGGAGCCTTGCTGCAATAGACACATGATGGATAGGTCCACGGGCGCAAGCGAGGTCCCAGCGGTGAGGAATACCCATACGCTTATTGGAGGATCTGACTTTGACTACAGCGTAGCCTTCGTCTCTCGCGAGGGCCTGAATAGCTTCAATTGCGGCATCCGCGGTCTCGAATGGCCCTAAATCGAAGGGCGCAGCCATCTTGGTAGGCAGTGTCATTGAGTCCATTGTAAAGGCTTCAAATAAGGCGGTGAATGCGGCTTTGGTGATATCGGCGTTGACGGCGTTGACGGCGTTGATAGACTGCGTTGACAGACTGCGTTTTTACGCGTTACTACCACGAGTCTTACGCGTTTAACGGTGCGGCAACCATCGGTACAAGAGGTACATCAATTTGCTAATAAAATTGCCTAGGCCCTAAGTCTCTCGTGTCGCAACTGCCTAATCCGGCCAAAGAGGCCGTGCGACAATCGCCGAGAGGCCGTGCGACTAGGGTGGCCCCGCCCTTGTGTCCTCACGCTCCTGGACTTGCTCGACCCAGTTGGACAAGATGCAGCCCGATTGGGAAAGCACAGTCTCTTTGTCCCGAGAGCTAGCGGCTCTAGGTTGTACGAGCCGGCGGCGGCCACTCTTGACTAGAGTGGTTGGTGCAACGGGACCTTCTGCCGAGCCGATTGAGACCTCACGCCAGGCCCCATTGGTCGCGGTCTCGACCTGGCCAGGTTCGCCTGATCGCCCGTCGAGAGATCTGAGATTATGGTGACAGGTGGCTACAAATCCGTCACGGCGCACGGTTGACTAAGCCAGTCGACGGCAATATGCGAGCTTAATCCAACGACGTCTCTTCGTTGTCGCAGGCGACTATTTTCTATGACCGTCAGGGTGGTGGTGGACGCGTCGAATGAGAGCAATTGCGGCCCGAAAGTCAATCGCCACAAGGGATGCGCGGGGCGACGCGCAGAATGAGGTAGCCAACAGGCCATCCCACTTGACCTCTTTGCCACCCCATGATTCGGCGTTCCATCGCACCGGTACGTCATGCTAGTGCAGGAGCGCGCGCACTCTGTCGGCCGTTCATCGATGGTTAGGCCGAGCTCAAAGAAACCGCGATTCGGTCGCGACCCTTGCCTTCGCCGCAAACCCCCAATGCTTCTGTCGCAGATGTTGTTCTCGCCACTCGGCTCACATGGCTCGTCATCAGGCGCGCTTCCGCAGCACCCGGACGTTCTCCGAGGCACACATATCATCTGGCAGATTCCAAAATAGACAGCATGCAGCTGCAGATCCTCTGAACAGGCAGGTCTCCCTGAACGCCCGCGAGCAGCAACGTCCCACGGGACCTGGGCGTGTTAACGCCGACGCCGCTCATTAACGGACGAGTTGCAGCGTTGAGCAAGGCACTGCTGGCTGTTGTCGACCAGTGCAAGTGCCCATAAGCAGACGCCTAACCGACCAGGCTTCGAAAATGAACTTGCGACGGCCTTGTTGAGCGCGTGTTGGCGGCCGACCAGCTAGCTAATCAAGGACGAAGACAGCAACCCTACCTCGCTTGAAGTAGCGGCTAAGTGGGAGCCGTTTTGTTCCCGTGCCGATCGCTAGGGGAAGGCGGGAGGCGGGGCCGACGTCGATCATGCCTATCATGCAGTGTGGTTTTCAATCTGGACCCTTGTCAATCCAATCAATCAATATCGCGGATCAATCCTAGTCAATCCGCGTGGCCAATAAATCAAATTAGGGCGGCGCCTCAAACGGCGGATTATGGCGCCGCAAGGATTGACGGATTGAACTTCATTCAATCCGAGCGCCGGCAATCCCCATTATCGGCAAATGAGGATCGATAATTGCGCGCTCGTCTGGAAATTATCTCATTTTAATTAACTATTTGTTCCGCCAAAAAAAATGGACTGTTAAATTGGTGGCGCCGCCATGGCAGTTGTGGCACCAACTGGATTGACAGGATTGACAATCTTACTGGCCAATTGGATCAATCCGTCAATATCGATTGATCAGGATTGACTGGATCGAAAACCACACTGCTATCATGGTTGGCAGGATTGGGGGCGGGGCGATGCATTAAGGCTGTCACGAATACAGGAACGCTACTCTAGCCTCTGGCCAAGATGCAATGCGAAGAAGGCGCAGGTCCAGGCGAGAAGTCCTCTCATTAGCACTGCCAGCGCTTGTTCTCCCCTCCGATAGCACAAAAATTCTTAGTGCCTCAATGTGCCGTCCGATCGCTTCTCGTCCGTCTGCATGAATCATTAGCCAGCAGAACGACGAATCACGGACCTGTCCTCAATACGCCTTTCCTCCTCGACGGGATCCGGAACGGCTTGGTTGTTCGTCCGCTCCCCGACCATATGTACTCGCCCAAGGGCTGATTGGCGAGATTGGCTCGCGTTGTGTCGTCCATACACATGGACTAGGAAAGACTAAATGAATGATCTCTTAATGATGATGATATCTCTCTAGCTACAGAAGGAGTGGGAGGCTATGTCTTATATAGACATAGCTGACAAATGTCGACATGATCATAGACCTTCTAGAGACGACCAGTCTCTTCAACACCCCGTAGCCAGACATGGCTAGATGACTGAACAATCCAAATGTCAAACATCGTGACTTGCAGATTAGGCAATCGGAAGAGAAATAAGTCCAAGTTGACGAACAAAAGCAACATGGCGATCCTGGGTGAGTGGCTTGGTAAGTCCGTCTGCCACCATATCGTGCGTCGAGACATGTTGAATGTCAAAGTCTCCTCGGGTTGTGCGATCAATGATCCATTTATAGCGAGTGTCAATGTGTCTTGTTCTTGCCGAGTTCATTGGATTTAGTACCGTGAGCTGTGCATTGCGTGAGTCCGTGAATATGATGACTGGCTTGCTGGATCGGATTCCAAGGTTCTGTATGATGCGATCAATCCACAAAAGAGCTTGTCCACTTGGCGTGAGATTCATGAATTCGGCTTCCGTTGTTGACAGTGCGACAATTGTCTGTCTACTGGATTTCCAGAGAACCGGACAGCCGGCTAAAAGAACGGTATAGCCAGCAGTAGAGTGCCGTGTTGGTATTCGGTCTGCAAATGCTGCATCCGCAAATCCGAGAAGTGGAAGATTGTTAATCGAGAATTTCCCACCTAGACAGAGGGACAAGTTCGTAGTTCCAATGAGGTATCTAAAGAGGTGTTTTAGCAGCTGTTTATGCTGGTCAGACGGTCCGGCGTTGGCTTCGCAGAGACGATTTGTCGTGTATGTAATGTCTGGTCTCGTTCCCGTCGAAAGAAAGTTCAGTGATCTCGTTTGTCTGATGTATGACTTCTGAGAGGCCTTGTCTGGCTCCCAGGTAGCGGGAAGTTCGAATCCTCGAGGCCAGGGGGTTGTCGCGGCATTGAGTCTCCGATATCCGTACTTCGAAATGATTTTCTCCGTAAAGTTCTTCTGAGAGAGGTAGATACGCCTGTTTGGCCTATCTCGGATGACAGTGAAGCCAAGGAAGTCTTTCACCTCACCCAGGTCCTTAACTTCGAAAAAGGACTGGAGTTGTTCCTTGACGTGGAAGATTATCTCTTTCGTTGGTGCGGCGACTAGCATATCGTCCACATAGAGGATCAGAATGCAGCCACGCTTTTCATCTTTGAATAGACAGAGATCCGCGTCAAGAGGTTCAAATCCGAGGTTTTGAAGGATAGGTGTAATCGTCTTGAACCACCAGAGAGGGCTCTTTCGTAAACCGTAAAGGGCTTTCCGAAGGAGACAGACCCTGTTTGTGCCGTCTTCGTAGCCTTCTGGCTGCATGACATAGATGTTGGTCCCTTCCGGTATGTCTGCATTGAGGAATGCTGTAGCAATGTCAAACTGAAAACATTCGAGGTCAAGAATCGCGGTCCACAAAAGAAATATTTTGACAGATGTTGTGTTAGCCACGGCAGCGTACACGTCTTGGACTGCCCAGCTGTCTTCTTCTTCAAAATTCCCGCAGACGACCCAGCGGGCTCTGCCAAAACATTCACCGGTAGGTGACATTTTCTCGTCAAGGACCCATTTTCCTGGAAGTAGCTTCCCGTCGGGTGGCAAGTTCGTTAACTGCCAAACTTGTCGATCCTGGAGATATTTATACTCTGCGTGCTTTCTGAACGATGTTTACTGTTGTTATTTCCCATCTCACTGTTCTCATGGCCTCCAGCCATTAGACAGCGCTGTTTTCAATCATATAATGACAGCCTACCGGAAGGAGCTTGACAGACTGGCTTCTTTGACGGATTCCACGCCCGTTGACAAGGTCAACTTTATACGTGCGTATGCCAGGGGACGTCAAACGGGAATGAAAGCAAGAAACAGCTTGTCCGGCTGGAGAACCACCGGAAATTGGCCAATCTCGCGTTCCAAGGCATTGGGGCACCCTGAGATCCAGAAGACAAAGTTACGGCATCCCCGGAATATAGGCCGTTTTTGGACTCTGATAACACCCCGAAATCCAGCCGCCATATTCGTGACCTTGGCAAAAGCAGAACACCTACGACTCGGAGGCTATATGCCAAGATAGCTAAAGGCTGGGAAACTCAAGAACAGGCACTAGCAGAACATGGTGGTAAAATTGCTAGGCTGGAGGAGGAAGTGGACAGGCTGAAGAGAGGAAGAAAGAGGAGGGCCATCCCTAACCCAAATAGACGCTTCATGTGTCTCGCCGAAGCTTTGGCGGCCGGTGAGATTGTCCCAGAAATTGGGAGTCCAAAGAAAGCCGTTGTGGTGGATTGCGACTCGGAGGAGGAGGAGGTGGAGTCGGAGACGGAGACAGCTCCGGGGATTGAGGTCAAGGTATTTGGGCCTCCCCAGCGCACCACACGACTGGGTCCCGTCATAAAAATACCAAGAACCAATTAGTGTGTTCAATTCTCGTTCAAATGATGTAGCCTTTACATTTTTATCTCCATAGTTCGCTGAAATATAAGCAGTTCAAGAATCAGATTTTCTCGCGAAGATGAGAGCAAAAGTGGGCATAGAAGTGGATAAAGGGACTTTTCGAAGGTCGAGTATCATATGATCAGATGGTATGCGAGAATGCATGTGTTGATTGCTCTGCCCCCGGTTGCCCTTTTCCCGTCCAAACAGCCCCTTTTGTATCCCTCCAAGCTTCTCCCAAGTTGATATCCCGTTTTCAGGTATAGTATACATTCTTATCAGAAAGAGGGCACTTCTTGCCACCTACTGAAGGCCACGTAAGTCATCTACGTCAGCAACATCAGCTCCATCTCCCGATCAAATAGCTCTTCTAGCTATTAGATAGATAGTTCAGTCTCTCGAGATCCCCGAGCCAGTAATAGTTATGCCGGACTCCTCAAAAGGTCCCCGTTCGAATAGGAGATCCTCCGGACCC